GGAAAGAGAGGAAAGAGAGGAAAGAGAGGAAAGAGAGGAAAGAGAGGAAAGAGAGGAAAGAGAGGAAAGAGAGGAAACAGAGGAAAGAGAGGAAACAGAGGAAAGAAAGGAAAGAAGGGAAGAGAAAGAGAACTCACGCATAGTAGATCCGCCAGCATTACCCTCTTCCAGTCGCACCTGCCGTCCATGGAGCCAGAATGGTTTATCTTCATGTACTTCCATGACATGTGCTGCTAGATCTCTGGTCTACGTGTTTGGTGAGTATATAAGACTTGATCCTTGGGCTTCCACACTCACCTCAAATGTAACAAATGCATTCGGCATGTTGCCTGTGCATCCCATCTTAGTACGGCATTGGCCAAATTCTGACATGTACTTTTGTATATCTTGTCTCAATTGATCCTGTGGTGTTTTCATATTGAGACTGTTGGGTCAGCATATGCCATGAAATGGAGTTGGGTTTACTTACTTTCCAACAAAAATAGTAGCATTTGACGGCCACATGCTCTGAGCATTCTCGGCTGTTACATCTACACCCTGGAGCTCACGTCGTAATCCAGAGCATATCGTAGGGCTAGTGATTTTGCGGACGGCGGCTGCGATAGAGACCTTGGGTTCGTGGATATCGGTATCAGAGGTAGGATTTTCAACCACTGTATCCTCCTGTGGGGTCAGGGGTACTGTTTCACTCTCAGTACTATCACCCGCTTCGGAGCCGTTTTGTGGCTTGCTGCCGTTCATTTTGCGGGTATATATCGTCGACGAGAATCTAACTGGTATTGTTGCAATGTTTGGCGAGATCGAAGTAACAAGTGTGGTAGAGATATATCGATAGCTATGATTGAGCGAACGAAGATAGGCGAATTAATATGTTCAAGAGGTTGCATCTTCCTGGAGTCTTGTACACCTATATCTCTGGCGGCGGCCGCCGTCTAGGAAATCAGGAAGGGGACATGTCCTATACATAGTCGGAGCCCTAGCCGAGGAACAAGGATTGTCACTAACCATGGAACACGGCTAAAGAGAAGCCAACGAAGGCCAAGGTGCATATTGACTCATTCTAAGATGTGAGGTTGCTCCCACGCCCAACTCAAATGTATAAGTCATAGGCGCTACAACTGGCATTGTTCCTTAAAACTGCCAGGATAGAGTTTACAGCCTAAGGGCTGGATGTTCCAGTCACAGTGAAGGGTGTGATTCTGCCTACTTGGGTGTCGGCCTGTGCAGAAGTATATCCCTCTCAATGCCCGGGCACTGGGGATCATCATGTCGTCAGAAGCAAATGGAGCTGTACTTTCGGCACTTGAAAGAGGCAGATAATGAGATCACCTAGAAGAGGCTGTCTGAAGGGTTGAATGTTTACAGATAGCGGGCAATATAAAATAGAATAGAGAAAACCCCGTGGGACACTTAACCATGGACGTATGTTCTGACGCAGCTCATGGTAATTGCGACACAAGACGTACTCAAGGAGCCCAAGTGAACTTGAATCCCTTGAGTTACTGGAATCAAAGAGTGCAGCGTAAATATACATACCAAGGAGGTCGAAATAAGAACAAAGACGACATCTAAGTCCAGCAAGTAGGGCAAAATGGGCAGATGATGTCGCCCTTATCGTGCTTATCGATTCACGCCACCTCGGAAAGCCGAGCTTCCCTGCGACTTCAAACATTTGAAGCTTCCGCTCTCTTCCTTCTCCTCACACACAATGTTTCCCACACGACGGTTAGCTTCCCAGGGCTTTTTCAAGCGCAGTGCCGACGAGTTCGGCCGTCTGTCCAGAATTGGTATGGCATATGGATTCACAGCCCAAGAGTTTAACTGACCGTATAGCTTGGAACACGGAGGCCCTCCACACTCCGACCAAACCTTACACCCTTCTCAATTTCGAAGATGAGGGAACAACCAAAGGATGTAAAACAATGGCCGACCGTGCAGTAGGGGGCTTCAGTACTGCCAGTCTAGACCACGAACCCGCGGACCTTTCTACGAATACCCCTTCACACGCTCGCTTCCATGGAACCATCTCGACAAAGCTCCCCGACAACTGGCGCGTCGAAAGAACCGGTATGCTACCCAATAACTGCGCTCAAATACCGTACTAGGCAGTAATTTTGATCTAATACGCGAATCCAGGTTACGCTGCGTTCCGAAACCAAGACCGAGGCTTCTGGCTTCTCGGCCGGCTTTACTGGGACGTGGATCCCTATGCGTATCTGGCACTGCGAATTAAGTCCGACGGTCGGCGCTACACCGTGAATGTGCAGACGGATGCCGTTGTGGAGACGGATATTCACCAGCACAGATTATACACGCGCCACCACCGAGTGCGCCAAGAACCCTCAGAGGCATATGAGAACGATGCCGAGTCGCTAGATGCCACCGACAGCATGCCCGCCGCGCTCTCAGACGTTCCTCCTGAATCGACGATCATATCCACATCCACCAGCACAACAACATCCGGCTCCGACGGGTGGGAGACCGTCTTGCTACCCTTCAGCTCGTTCGTGCGCACAAACTATGGTTTTGTCGTTGAGCCTCAAACTTCCCTGACCCGCCAGCGGGTCAAGAGCATTGGTATTGGTCTGACCGACCGTGTTGATGGGCCATTTGACCTGCGCATTCACAAGATCTGGGCGACGAACGGCATGAGTGAGGCGGATGTCGAGGAGGAGCGGAGGATTTGTGGTGGAAATGCACTTCCTCTTGATGAGGGTGTTCGCTCTGGCTGGACCGAGCAGCTCGAGCAACAGACCACTGAAGCCCAACCCCAGCCCCAGCAGAAGAACCAGGACTCCAAGGAGAAAGGTCTTAAGGGTCTGAAATGGGAGGAGTAAAGGAACCATGTAGGCGTATAATATCTGATTGCCAATTGTACAAAAAAACGAAACCTCAATATCCGTCTATGCCGCATGTGCCAATACCGTCCATGGGTACCAGCAAGCTTGGCAAGGCAGTTCCACAGAGAAGGAAAGATAAGTTAATGGAAAGGTGATATTTATGTTCGAACCCAAGAATCACAGACATCAACATCATTCATTCTAAATCATCCGGCATCACTGAATCATAGCAGTACAGATGAAACCCAACTATCTATGAATTTAGTTGGACTTACCACCAGTAATTTTCTCCCAAGCCTCCTGGTACTTCTCCGCCGTCTTGAGGGCAATATCATCAGGCATGCGAACACCCTCCTTGCCCTTAAGGCCCTCACTCACCAGCCAGTCGCGCAAGAACTGCTTATCGAAGCTGGACTGGCCGCGACCGATGGCGTAAGAGTCCTTAGGCCAGAAGCGGGAGGAGTCGGGAGTCAGGACCTCATCAGCGAGGACAACCTCGCCGGTCTCCTCGTCCACCCCGAACTCGAACTTGGTATCAGCGATGATCACGCCACGCTCAAGAGCATACGCGTGAGCAGTCTTGTAGAGCTCAACGGCCATCTTGGCGACGATGGCGGCATACTTCTCACCCAAAATGGCGACGGCTATTGGATAATGTTAGCTCCGGATAAAGGGCCACACTGCAGATGCTCAAACCACATACCCTGGTCTGGGTGGATGTTCTCATCGTGCTCGCCCTGCTCTGCCTTTGTGCTGGGGGTGTAGATGGGGCCTTCGGGGAAGGCCTCGCTCTCCTGCAGACCGGCGGGAACCTTGATGCCGTGCACGGTGCCGGCCTTCTTGTATTCGTTCCAGGCTGAACCGGTAATGTAGCCGCGGACAATTGCCTCAATGGGGAGAATGCGCAGCTTGCGCACTTGCATGCTGCGGTTCTGCAGCACCGGGCGCAGGGACTCGGGAATCTGGGGAGGGAGATCGAGGGTAATGAAATGGGTGCGCAGGGCGGGGTTGGCTTCGGTCAGAGCCTTGAACCATGTTTGCGTGCAGAGGGTGAGAAGAACGCCCTTGTTGGGGATACCCTGTAGCGATTCAATAACAGTCAGTGCGTTGTTCGAGTGTTTATAGCTGTGTTGCGGTGGTATGATCGAATTACATTCTCCATGATCACATCGTAGGCGGAGATGCGATCACTGGCAACGAAAAGGAGGGTCTTGTCGTCGATCTCGTAGAGGTCGCGAACCTTGCCTCGGGCAATTAGAGGCAAGGCGCCCTGCAGGTCTGTAGTTGTCAATGCTTGAGCCATTGTATAAGATGCAATTGAGTGCAGAAGGAACTATGCGTCATCGTCACTCTTTTTTTCTCTTGGCGGGGGTCCCGCATTGCTGCCTTGATATGCCTGAGGTGTCGATCAATTACAACCTCAACGCGCCCTTGGATTGTTGATAGATAGCCAGACCGCCACAACAAGATGTGGCAGCCATAACGGACGCAAAATGACGCGTTATTTGACTCCGTGGAGAATTTCCATTCTTTGTCTGGTGACGCTCTACTCTGAGGGTAGCGTACCGCAATCTTCTGCTATCCATGTCCTCTCTTTCCTGACGGCGGGTCTATTCCCGCTAGATGCGGCCGATAAGCAATGGGAGGGACATTACATGCCAACCATTTCTGAGCTCGAGGAGTGCTTGTCGGGTCATGACTCCGACGTGCCGGGGCGCACGCTCTGGGATAAGTTTCTGGGCAAACTCTGGGCCATTGACTCGCTTGATGCGCTGGAGACATTCTGCGGAGAAGTGATTCCCTCACTTTTGGCCAAATCGCGCGAGGAGTTGATTCACGAAAGAGATCATGGAATCGCCCCAGAGCCGGAGAACCACATGCGTCTGTCCAGAAGCTCACCCCTTGGCGCTTTCGTGCGCAGAGCTCATATGGAGTACACAAAGCTGCAATTTTATGATTCAGTGAAGCTCTGGTCTGGATTTGTCAAGTATCGCCTTCCTACATACAGCTACTGGAGCCGTAGACATCGCGGGGCGGATGCAACTGCCATTGATACGAACCTACGCGATCTCAGGCTGGATTCCACGAGTCATTTATCACAAGTGGTGTACGGCAACATCGAAGGCGACGAGGACGACAAGGAAGAAATCAGCACCAGGGACTCAGAGCGGCTGATAGAATTCCAGGTCGGACAATTGCAAAGTGAGCTTCTGTTTGCAAGCGTGTTATGGGCGTACACTAACGTACACAGAAATGGGAGGCAGGGTCCCCGATGAAATGAGGGACCAATTGAGGCGCATAATGAACTCAGAGTCCTCGGTACCTGTGCTCATGTACTACTTAGAGTGAGCTGGGAGAGATCTTATTCAAGCGTTCCATCGTTGACAGGACTCTAGGTACCTGGATGCTTGGAGAGCTGGCGATTATACTTCAGCCTTTGACAATCTCCATCGCTATTTCGATTACACGATGCACACCAATGTCGACCGAAGTGCATACCAATTTGCTCTTTTGAATCTGGCCATCATTCAAGCCGATTTCGAGTGTTTCAATGAAGCGATTTCAGCCGTTCAAGAGGCCGTTGCCATTGCCCGCGAGTCCCACGACATGAACTGTTTGAACTTCTGTATGAGCTGGCTCTATCACTTTGGCAAAGCCTTCCCCGAGCAGATGCGAGAAGTACAAAATAGCGGCATGTTAGGAAATGAGAAGGAAGGTCTTGCTTTCTTGAAGGCCAAGTCCAAGGAGACTGATATGTGGTCGCTTTTGAGTACAACATTGTTGAGCGAGGCAAAGTTAGAGATGCAGCAGGTATGAGCCCTTCGGTGGTCAACTCATGCTGTTGTTAACTGTCAACAGGGTGAGAGTCTGGCGTCCATCGTCGAATCATTCGTACGGGCATCGCATGTCAACGTGACGAAAGGCCTTGCTACTCCCACGGGTGCATACATGCTACTCCAAGCCTCTATGTACGCTCGAATAGGTATGATATTCTCTGGCGCGAAGTGGTTCAATGGTACTTATTGAAAACCAACAGGAGCTACCCACCTTTCGTGGCTGAACACTGAAGTGTTCCGCGAGTGCTACTCGGAAGGCCAACCCCATGATGACTTTGTCAGAATCACATTCAGAAATTGCCAAATAGTATGTTCGATAGCTCGATGTGAAATCATGGGGCAATGCTGACATTGATTTTGCAGTTGATTCAAAAAGGCAATTACAAGGAGGCGTTCACACGGCTGAACAAAATCGAGCCAGAGAAACTCAGAGCCTTCAAATACAACAATTCCTGGACATATTACTCCGGATTACTACAACTCCGGCGGCAAATCTGTCGGTAAGTACACCTTTCTGAACTGTCATCTTCACCTCTGACAACCCACAGCGATGATAAGGTAGCCGTAGAGCACATCCTTTCCCAACTTCAAGCAGTGCAGCTTCTCGACTTTGACCTGCGCCTCTTGTTAGCATTCTACACAATCGAATTCACAATCCGCCAGGGTGACTATGGTCGCGCCCTTAGAATGGTCGAACAAGCCGCCCATTCAATGCAACCAGAGAACTTCGACGTTCATTCACAAGTCAAGATGCTGTGCCTGAAAGCACATATTCTCGCTAAATCCGGCCAACCACAACGTGGATTCTCCCTTGCCATGCGCGCCGCCAACATCGCCCATCGCTCAAAGGTACTCGCCGACCTCTGGGAAGCAGTCTGCGCACTAGCAACGGTGCTCTTAAGTCTGCGGGAGTTTGAAGCCACTGGTGAACTTATTGAAAGCATCATGCCCCAGACTCTCGAGACGGAGGACTATGCCCTCATCGCGCAGGCTTATTCACTTCTTGTCGATGCCAACATGGGAATGGCGGGTGAGCTGTGGAGTCTACAAGGCAAGGACTCCAAGCCTGCTCGCAAAGAGTACATCAACCGCGCCCTTGGCTACATCGACTCGGCATATGACCACTACGAGGAACTAGAGGATGTCAAGGGGCAGACGGAGATGATGGCTAAAAAGGCTACCGTCATGCACCTCACGGGTGATTCGGTCTTGGCTAATGACTATGCTGCCAAGTACCTGGATTTGCGGAGGCGACGGGGCGCTGAAACATGATTGTACCTTTAAGCCAGAGTTAATTTTGCAAAAGCACTCAAATACAGGGTTCTTTGATCTATCCTTGTGCTGTTGGTACAGTTGAAGGGAACAACTGGTCATTGAGGTGACACGGCTGCCACTGTGCATTAGCGGCGCCTGACTGGCACCCGTTGGTTGGCATGAATTCCACGTAGAATTCCACGTAGATTGACTTGACACCCCATAGCGCCTCGTGTGTCTCAAAGAATGGTTCCCACATTATTGTTTTAATTTGTTGAATCTTTTGATCCTTTAAAAAAGGGTTTAAAAAACTTTGAAAAAGAGAGGACTGGGGACTGGGGTTGATCAAAAGCGAAATATGTAGGCGATGTGAAGTACAAACACAGCCCCAGGGAACTTGCCGTCGTTGCAAACCCAAGCAGCCTCCCGATCTCCTGCAGTTGCCCTCATGATGCTGCGACCTCCTTTCTGAGGCTTAGTTGGATAGAGAATAGGCATCAGGGAATGAAGCAGGGCCTACGAGTCGGCCTATTGTATAGAGTAAAGATGAAGCTGGATGCGCAGCGTTCTTAGATATCTGTCGACAGAGCCTAGTACTGAATTTCTCTGCGCTGCATTCTAACCTGTATAAACAAATTGGTTGGATGTCGTGTTCTATACCTAGGGTGCTATCACCATCGCCATCATGGCCTCGGGATCTACGGGCAAAGCCAAACTTTAGAAAGAAGACTTCCAAGGTTCTCTCGACATCCTTCTCAAACTCGAAAGATTTCATCAGCCGCCTTTGTCAAACCTGGAAACTGTTGATCACTCTGTCTGGCGCTGACCAGTACCAATGGATCGTTAAATTCACTAAATTTTAGAAGGATTTTATAGGTATCCCTGCTCTAGGTGCAATGGCTACGATGTTGTGGCTGAGCAGTCGTTAATCCAAGGCTTCTGCCATCATAGTTAGGCTGATTTAGAGGGCGCTGGGGTACCCATCGTGTGCCCATCGTGTTACAAGGCTCATGAAAGAGAGCGCTTCCTCGATCATACGAAAGAGCCGCTTCCAAGCCACTAGGCAACTTTTGGATGTGCCAACAACCATTATCATCCCTAACTATAGGCGGGTCAGGCATTCTGGCGCAATCAATTAGTCTACGTGGTGGCTCTAGTGCTTCGAATACTAAACCATTTCTCAAGTTATAAACATATTGGACCGGGAAGGGTTCGAAGGGGCAGAATGGGAGGCTCTTTAGTCGCCACTATTTTGGGATCTTTTGCCTTTACTCTATAGCACCCGTCAATTATAGCAAAAGATTCAAAGTTCAAATCTACATAAATGTAGCCGCATTCATCCTCCTTCACCCTCAAGGATCTGTATACAAGCCAGCTACAAATTTTGCATTTCCCCTACAGTCCTGTTTCCAGTGTCATCTTCTAGCACCATATCCTAAAGTTTGTGGACTATGATCATGGCTTCAGGCTCTTCTCGTAATGCCCATGCCCCTGATTTTCGACTCGGTCCCAAATTAATGGGGATTCCAGAGAAAGTTGAACGAGCAAAGGGAAAAGCAGCCGAAACAGACGAGCTTCAAGGCATCGACACCCAAGCCTTTTTGCCCATTCTTTCTCTCCAAACCGGTCAACGCCATCCTAAGTTCCCACAGAATATGCAAGCGCTTAATAGACTCACCTCAAAAGACCTCGATGAGCTAGCTATCTTCTATGACCAATTCTTACCCCCAGGGCCATACACCAATTCTTACTCTGGAAGAATGAAAAAATGGATTGGAACGCCCGCGGGAGAGCAGATTGGTGTCGAGGCCAAACGCGTCCAATTTGGCGTATTCTTTGGGTTGATCGCACCGCCAAGTGTGGTAGTTCGAGATCATGGGCTAGGAGTCGCGGAAGTATACAATCCGGCACTTGATCCAGGTGAGAGATTAGGGATTGTGGCTATCCTTCCAGTGTAAACTAACTGCCAATAGTCGGAAAGAAACAGAAATCACGAAAGGAGAAGTCTAAGTGGCATAGGAAAGTGTTCGGTCGCTCGAAGGATAAATAGGTAGTCGATGATCTGCCTAGGTGGCCTTGTCTGCTCCACATTTTGTTCTCAAGGGTCTTCCAAGACTCCAAGTTCTTCTGAGGTGTTCTTCCCTTCATCTACAGGTCTACAGAGACCTTATTAGGCATGCAATAGTTCCCAATGAAATCATTATCATCTCTGTCTGTATATTCATGTGCTGGCTGTGTACAAAATAGAACAACGCAGGAGTAGTATGTACATGGTTCTATATATCCATTGTGTCGTAAAATCCCAAATTACTCAGCCCAATCAACCAGGAACTCGTCGAGCAAATCAAAGTTGGCTCTCTCCCTATCAATCCTCTCGCTCCTTTCTCTCCGCCCGCGAAGAAGATCAGCAGCAATATCAAATTTGGGCTCAGGTGGAGGGCAATCCTGCTCTTTCTGCAGTCCGTAGCCGGGAGTATTTAACCCCCGGCCAAAGTTTCTTCGTTCCAAAAAGTCCCCGCCCAACGACTTGGTTTCTGAACCATTGAATTGAAAGTCCACCAAGTCAAGGTCAGCCTCGGGTGGATGTCTAGGCTCATAGACCCGAGACGCATTATCAGAGTCGAGGATGGAAGCCGCACCAAAGAGAGACATGCCACGTCTTGGACTGGTATCATGGTATGAATATGGATATTGCTCATGTGATGAGCTCGGCGACTCAGTCTCAGGACTAGTGCGACCATCGCTGTGATCCATGGACTGGAAGCTTTGCGGAGACCAAGATGATCTGAGCCCTCGTGGCAAGGGCAATTCTTGCCGCTGTCTAGGGGGCCGTGAAACAGATTGTCTTGTCTCGCGCTCTTGCCGAGGACATTTGTGCCCGCAGCCATCATTGAAGAGTTCTTTCAGGAGTACATTCAGTTGCGACAGGCGTTTTACCTGGCTGACAGGAATCTTATCTTCGGAATATTGGCTCAACTTTCTCTTGCGCGATAAGCTCGCTGCTCGCTCAGCAAGAGATACTCTTGGTGTCGCGGCGGGATCTCTGGTCCCTGATAATTCATTCCCTGAGCGCGCAGCCTCCATATTGAGCGTCTCTTCTTCGTCGTAGGCGATCGCAGGCTTGAAGTCGATGCCGTGGTCAAGTAAGACCTCGGTTAAGTAGCTGACTCTGTTTTCGAGGAACGCTACATAGCTGCGCGGGACTTCTTGCTTTGTGAGGGGATCATATCCCACGCATCGGACGCCCGCCTTTTCGCATGATTCACAGCGGGGCAGGCGTTGGTCGCAACGGTGTTTGCGGAGGCGGCATCGATTGCACGCAGAAACATTTCGAAATGGCGGGGCTGGAGGCTCTGGGGTGTTGGCTTGGCGGGGTGGTTGTGGTTTCGGTGCTGATTTGGACTGCGGGGAGGTAGGAAGAGCTCTGTTGGAGGTCCCGGAGTTCGCGGGGTTTGGTAGTGGGCAAGGCCATTGAGGCTCTCGCGTGGGCGATGTTGGTGATGGGGAGCTCAGCATGGTGTGGTCCGATTCGAGTTTACCAGGAGGGATGAGGAGAGAAGGAAGAGAAGGAAGTCAAGAAAAAAAACAATGCAAGATAGTAAACATTGGCAGTACTGAGTATACACTACGGCATCGATATACAAATCTATTCCGAAGATACGAGTGTTCAGTATGGCTGATAAGGTTCGAGTTCCGGATTAACACCGAGAGCTACTCTGAACTCCGAGACACTCCGAAAGACCCGTGGAGGCGTTGTGGCTGGTCCCAATGGGGTCATAACTCCCGCCGATCTATAAATTTACTCGTACACAGTGCGCTGGTTTTTCGGGGGCAATTTGCAAGTACTAGGTTCTACGGCGGAAATAATGGGCTACTTAAGTATAAATGTCTATAACACTCGACTCAATTGCTCTGCCCTTTTGCAGTGTCTCTTTCAGGCTTGTTAAGACCTCAGACTCATGCTACGGATTGCGGAGACACTAACACATTGACCATGTGGGTAACAATGTGGAGTTCTAGATAATGTACGGGCCATTACTCAATCTGTAGGAAATTATCAAGTCACCAGAACCCCCTCTTCTAGATGAACTTCCCGCGGCGAAGGGAAACCCAGGGAAGTTTAAGACCAGGGCAAGTCATGTGTACGAGTAGATTGAGAGACTCGGAAGCCAAGCTTCGGAGCGGGGGCATTGGCCGTCGCTTGGCAGAGTAGAACATGGAAAGCCATCCTCACCCCGCATTCCTTTGAACGCTCGGCTACTCAGCCCAACGGTTGATCCGATCTCGCATGCACGCAGTCGGGAGTTGTCTCCAATCGGGTTACAGGGGCGTTAAGGCTCATGCGGACTCCTCCCGGTAGTCGCTCTCGAGACCTCATTTAGTTTCTTTTAGTAGCATGGCTGGAAAATACGAAAATTGCCCGGGAAGATGGGCACATGTGCACTCAAGGAAGATTTGACTATGTACCTGGGCAGCCCTGGCGACAGGGCTGTTAGGCTAGGGGCAATCATCTCGCAAGGGACTTCGGGAGGCAAATGAAAAAGCGAAACACATACTGCATGGAACCCTGGAAGAGTAGGAAACAGTAAGGCGCGTAGAGCCGAGGATCGGTTGACCGTCAGTCCTTTGGTCATCGCAGAGTCTAATGAGATAAGCTTCGATAGGCTGGGGACGCACATTGTGGGGGAGCCTTTACCTCTGCCGATCCCTTCACTGAACTCCACGTCAGTCATTACCCCAGATTATTATTGATGGAATGCTCAAACCCAGCCCTGGAGCCGCTATCGACTCTGGGGAATCTATATAATTGACGACTCGCCCCACTGTATCCATATTATTCAGTCTTATACTCCATCTCGAGCTCCATCTCATCCATTCACTAATCATTTCGTGCCATCATGGCAGAACCAGATGCCAGGGGCACTTCCACAGCCCAGGATATTGAGATGACCGTGTCAACCGACTACAAGTTGGTCAAGCACAGGACTGATGCAGATGAGGCCATGAAAGCATTTGAAGAATTGCAGATAGGCGAGGCGATCGAGCTCGACGAAGCGACCAACCGTCGTCTGGTGCGGACTATTGATCTCCACATCATGCCCATCATGTGTCTGGTCTACGCAATGAACTTCCTCGACAGTATGCGATGCAGACAAGGAATTTTCGTCTCGCGAAGCTGACCAGCCCCAGAAACTACCTTGTCTTATGCGAGTATCATGGGTCTCAGGGAAGATCTTAATTTGATCGACGATCAGTACCAGTGGCTGGGAAGTTTATTCTACTTTGGTGAGTTTGTCTAATATACCCAGCTGTCTCCCGAGGTCAGCGCTTACTTACGGAACTAGGCTATCTGGCCTGGGAGTATCCAACTAGCCGTTTGCTGCAACGGTTACCACTCGGCAAATATTCAGCCGCCTGCATTCTTATCTGGGGCATGATATTATGTTGCTTTGCTGCAACAAAGAATTATTCTGGAGCGATTGCGATTCGCTTCTTCTTGGGGGTGTTCGAAGCGGCCGTGACACCGGGATTCGCACTTTTGACCTCACAGGTATGCCTTGCTCAGCTTTCCATCATAACAAAACTGACTCTAGACTCACATAGTGGTACACCAGAAATGAACAAGGCAAGCGTGTGAATATCTGGTACAGTTTCAACGGCTGGGGCCAGATCATTGGCGGTCTGGTCGCCTATGGTATCGCCGTCGGCACAAAGAAACATGGTTCACTCATCGCACCCTGGAAGATCGTGTTCCTCTTCACGGGACTGCTAACCATCGCATTGGGGCTCATCTTCCTTTGGGTTGTTCCAGACAGTCAGCTTAACGCACGATGGCTCAAAAAGGAAGACCGCATCCTTGCCATCGCCCGTGTTCGTGTCAACCAGCAGGGCATTGGTAACAAGCACTTCAAAATGTACCAAGCTAAAGAAGCCCTTTTGGACCCGATGACATGGGCATTCTTTTTCTTTGCTGTGATTGCTAATATCCCGAATGGCGGAATCACCAACTTCTTCAGTCAGCTTGTAAGTTGGCATTTTACCAAGTCCTACTCTCCTACTGACTTTGTCTGCTTTAGATCAAAAGTTTCGGCTACACCTCAGAGCAGAGTTTACTATATGGCACCCCTGCAGGTGCAGTGGAGGTCATCGCTCTTGTCCTGAACGGTATCATTGGCGATAGGACTGGACAGCGGATCCTGACTAGTATCGGAGGTCTACTTGCTGCCACAATTGGTGTCATTCTCATGGTTGCATTGCCACTGGACAACAACGTTGGCCGGCTCATTGGATACTATATGACACAGGCATTCCCTACTGCATTTGTGGCCCTTTTGTCACTGATCTCCTCCAATGTCGCGGGATATACCAAGAAGACCACAGTTGCTGCGTTGTACTTGATTGGATATTGTACGGGTAACATTATTGGTAATTGACACAGATGAGCGTCTGAGTGCATATGCTGATTATTCTAGGGCCATTGACATTCCGCCCCGAAGATGCGCCGCGGTACGTTTCAGCTGAGATTGTCATCATCGTATGCTGGGGCATTTGTCTGTTTTTGCTCTTGGTGATTTGGTGGTGGTATAACAAAGAGAACCGAAGAAAGGCCGAGATCGTCTCGCGGCCAGACTACGTTCACGTCGATGGACAAGAGTGAGTGTCACCATGACGATATACCGGATTAAGGGAATTACTGACATCTCTAGGTGGCTTGATCTGACGGACCGAGAGAACCAGGACTTTGTTTACACTCTTTAGGGCAATATTGGACCTCAATCTCTCGGTAAAATATAAGCTTGTGTTATGTTGTGCCTGCCAGCAGTGCAGAATTGTGTGACATGATGCTCTCAACCATAGCACCCATACTGCTTAGGGGCCCTGGAGCTGGGGATTGTAAAGTTCAATTTTACCACTTATATCAGTGCCCACATTGCTTTGAACAATTTTGTATTCTACGACTGGTCTCGGTTTGTGGAGCTTCAGAATTTGCTTCGCTTTCATGATGACCGGTGATAAGCTTAACACCGAACACCGGCTTTACCAGAAGGCGATCCGCAACCATTCTCTTTTTGAGTATATACTTAAGTAAGATCTGTAGATTCAGGAGCAACAAATATCTACTTCTTGTTACTTAATTAAGCCAATGGATCCGTTCCAATACACACTTTCCGACAATGGCACCGTGGCAGGTGTACAGAATGTCCCATCGCCAACATCCCCCCTTGCCCATCGCCCTCTGATCATCGCAATGCATGGAGGATGCTATGATCACCAATATTTTGATGCCACTCCGAATCTCTCTGCCTCCGTGGCAAGCAACGCCTTTGGTGTTCCCTTCGTATCCATCGATCGTCCATCATACGGCGGGACAAGCTCGATCTTGCCTATTCCCAATGGCACCAACTTTTTCGAGCGCTCCGCTCAAGTGCTGCATCAACAAATACTTCCAGAACTTTGGAAGAGGGTCGGTGAACCCAGCAATTGCAATTGTATTGTCTTGCTGTGTCATAGCCTAGGAGTGATGCCGGGGATTATCACCGCGGCTTTGCACGCAAAGGATGAGAAATCGCCATACCCGCTCGGGGGATTGATCGCAAGTGGTATGGGTGACAAGCAATCTCCAGCAATGAAAGACAGTGCACCTTCTTTCAACTTCGTTGACGAGGATCACGCACTTTTCCCCCTGGAAGCAAAGGGCGCAGTCATGTTCAAGCCCGGGACCTTTGACCTCGAGATCTTGAAGCATAGCGAGCGTCTTAATGCGGCGTATCCGTACTCGGAGGTTGGCCAATTTGCGGCCGCTTGGCTTCCTTTTTGGAAAGAGAAATGGGCGGCGCATGTAAAAGTACCTGTGATGTTTGCTCTCGTTGAAGATGATCCATTCTTCGTTGCTACACAGCAGGAAGTTGATACATGTGTCAAGGCATTCACGAGTAGTGTGCGTGTTGATGGCAGTCTGTTGAGAGGCGCTCCTCACTGTGTTGAGCTGAGTCATTGGTCGCAGGGGTGGTACGCTCGATGTTTTGGCTTTGCAATGGAGTGCGCTGCCAGTTTTGATATCTGAGTATCATTTTGCTCCCTTTTGTGATTAATGTGGCACTATCTCTGCGTTTTCAAACATATTTACCGGGAATTTTCAGGAAGAAATGATAAAGAAGTGTATAAATCCATTCTGGGTAAGAAAGTCAAAGTCTAGATATAATTAAAGTCACAACGCTCGCAAAATCGTATAGAATAACACATTAGTCGTAAAAGAAAGTCTTTCTCCATCAAGCCCCTAGACAACGATGGCAGGCGCAAATCCACTGTTCATGGAGTAATCCGCCTCAGTGTAGGCATCGGCTCCAGTGCGGAACGAGAAGTCGTCTGCAGCAACTTCCTGGACGGTGGAAGTAGCCTCCTTCTCGATAGAGGGGGCCTCGACGACGCGGCGGTGAGCAGGCCAAATCTTGTGGCCGGTGGCTTCTTCCTTCTCGTGATGCTCGACAACGACATCGCGGATGGTCTTCTGGAAGTGAAGGGGGCCGAGCTCCATCTTGGGGTGGAGCTGGCCGTTGACGAAGACACCTGCGTTCAGGTTCTTCTGCGAGAGCATGCAGAGAACCTTGTCCTCAGACATGATGCGCTTGTACATGTCACTGATCAAGTTGAATGCTTCGTCTGTTGCGTCCTTGTGGCGGTAGACCTCGTAGCGCATGACGGATTTCGTAGGGCTGACAGGGGTGAAGCGCTGCATGAAGAAGAAGTTGGGACTGGAAATGGTTAGTCATGTTCACATGGTGATGGAAGGTGGGTACTCACGAGACATTGAAAGAGGCGTTGGGCCAGAAGTAAGTGGTGGCGATGCGGAAGCCCTTGTCGATCTGGTCTTGTCGGGCGGCACCGTAGTGCTGAATGTGGCCGTCTTTGGTCTTGACGTAGTAGGAGTTGAGATCGGCAATTGTGGGGATGTCAGGGTGGGCAACAAGGCAGTGGTAGCACTCGTTGTAGTTGTCGGCAAGAATCTTCCAGTTGAAGTCTCCCTCCATGTCCCAGGTGTGGTCGAAGTTGTACTCATCGAAGTTGTAGTACTGGAATCGGGGCTGCTCATCCACACCCTCAAAGTCATCCTTCCAGGCGACCTCGGGGGTCTCGCTGGCATCCATGTTGACCCACACAAAGCCATTGCGGTCGATGTGGGTGTGGGCCGGGAGGAGATCGCTTGCGTGGAATGCGCTCACGTTTCCTTGCAGATCGCGGGCGACAACGAACTCGTAGCCGGCAGCGTCATACTTCACACAGTCACCAGGGTTGGGAACGCGAGCCTTGTGGGTGGTGAGAAGCCACTTGCGGCCGAAGATGGAGCGCTGTTCAAGCTCATACATGGCCTGAGAGGTGTACCAGGTAGCAGGGAGAGCTCGGATAGGAGTGTTTCCCTCTGCTGCCGGAGCAGATGCTGCCGGAGCAGTGGTGCCGAAGTAATTCCTCAAGAAGGACATTGTGATAGGAGTAAGAACAAAGACGAGTCTTCGTGATTAGAGAAGAGAGATGATTGAAGCTGATCTTTGTTTGATCTGTGGAGAAGCTGATGGAGAGCATTGAAGTCGAAGACAACTGCCCATCTATATACTTCTTGACGACACCATGATCCCCAGGATTTCGACACGGATCACGGTGGCCCAAACCCAATCCGATGGACCTGCTCGGTCCACAGCCTGTCAGATCCGAGAGGTATGACATATTGGGGAGCTCATGGCAATCAGGTGGCCAAATCGTAGGGCACATCGTGGGCAATCCGTAGCGGGAGGTATATCAATCAACCGATCAGGTGACCGGTAGATTGCCAACCGGACCGAATTGGTTAAAGACCAGCATATCCGCACAGCCGTGAAACGAAAGATATTCAGCCCGAGCTCGAGGTGTGGCAAGGCGGGCAGCGGAACGAGTCCGACAACCCTGCACGATTGGTTCTCCCCAGGTTCCATCACGATCCAGAGCGCCGAGAAGGGTTTCGGTCCCCCGGTTCGGCTGCCAAACCGACCCACCCCGACTGTTTAGAGATACCGTAAATGGAAGTTCTTATCATTACCCAGCCTGTCGGCAGTTATAATCCGGGGGTGGAGTACGGAGTACACTGCATGATTAAAATAGACGTTGGCTTCCAATGACGAGTTTCAATACTTGGCAGTGCTCAAGTGGTGGAAGAGTGAGGGTGATCAGGGGGACATTGCAGATGTCGCCGTCCCCGGGTGTTCACAGTCCGGAACTACGTTCTCAATGCAAGCTAGCGAGTCTTGGCACTTCTAACTAGAACATTGGGACCTATAATATACAATGTATAGAGCCTACTTTCGGCCTATATTGAAAGCTCACATGCTTATCTCTGGGTGTAAACCAATCACCCAGTTAGTTTCCATTCCGTCCTACATTGACTCTCGACATTTTTATACCTACGTGTGGCGTTGCTGCCTGACTTATGTTGATTTGACGCCCATTCATTGTCCTAGCTTGTTCTTTATTGATTTGATCTTCTGACCTTCTTTAGAGCGATCTCGATCGTTATCTGTTTGCCTCGAGAAGAATGTTCTCCTTTCCGGGTGCTTCCCTTTGTTTGATACCTGCAGTGCATGACCAATTCACAGGAACTCGGAACCCTCTTTGACCCCTGCAGGCTTAACGGTGTTGATGAGACAGACCGTTGGGCGCTCGGTTGAAAGCCAATCCAAGATATCCATACCTTCAAATCAACGAATAGCTCCAGCTGTTTAATCAACCCCTTTGGGCGCCATCGTCAACTTCACTGCCGATTTCCACACGTCTCCTCGAATACAGCATTCGTCGCAAAGGTTTCTTTCGCTGACAAATCGACTCACTTGTTCTAAGTTTATCTAGGCCTGCCAGTATTCATCTTATTTGGTTTCGAGTTTAATCATGCGGTTCACCGACACTCGTGGGACAATGGCAATATGTGGTTATGGATCAACTCATGGGAGATTAAAGCTCAAGATGAGGATTTTCTTCGTCTGGATTTTAATCAGGAAGACAGAAGAATGCATAAAGAAAGCCGAGTGAGGCGCACACCCGGGCGGAGACTCTGGTTTGAAACAGGGACCTTAAGAAAAACGTGGAAGATTACTACTTGACAACCCAGCGGGCATGCGGAAACTGACAAGGTGCTATACACCGGTGAATCTATAGGTATGGCATCCGGACATGCACAATATGTCAAGGTCATTCTGGCATGGACCCGAAATTCAATACAAAACTTTGAAACCTCACTTGGTCGACCTAAGAATCCGAGTTCATTGTGCTGACACCGAGGTATATCATTCATACTGAAGCAGATTCCAAGGTTCAAATTGACGCCCGGGCGATGTCGTCGAGAGAGACATCGCGGGCCTAATATCACCTACAAATCACAGGAGCACCTGGGCAAAAGCTCACTTCGAGGCTGGACAACTTGAAAGTTAGAAGCATACTGGGGTCCACTTGAGCATGGATGAGCCCTCCTGCGTTAACTATATTTACGGCGTACAAGCGCCCAACTTCATTCTTCAGTTTCAAGTACGGAGTACGGCGTAACTGGAAGAGCAATATTCATATCGTCGGCCGGGTTCCAACTTTAGAATGTCCAAAGTAAACTTTGGAATTCTTTTTGTTTTTCTCTCTAGCCCTCTCTGTAGCTCCCACGGGCTCTTTTTCGAACTCTGTTTCTAGTTCCCTTCATTTATCCGTTTTGGAAATGGTATACTATGATGTATTTTATCAACAATGCCAATAGATCGGATCTTAAAATTAGAGCATCACTTGATACGGGTGTTATATTACCTGGAGGTGGAGCACAATGCCGGCAGATCTCGATATCTAGTACGGAGTAGGTAGCCAAAAGACTACCTAAATATCAAAAAGTGAGTCCCTCAATAGCTTGCCGCACGCTTATCTCTGTTTATGCAGAAACGCCCAAAGGACGGAAGTCGTTATCAGTTTCCAATTATTAGTTTGGCTTTGGGCAATATTGGCCAAGTCCCGAGGTCCCAAGATCTACTCCCCCAATCTTAGCCTACTATCTTCCATGCACATCCAAGGTTGATCTTTGAAATTACCATTGATAGAAACTTCGCGCTCGCCTCGCCGATGGTTTCTCGGCCGCTCCAGCGGTGAACATACTCTCAACAAGTTTCTAAAAGGTTGTCGTCGCGCACAAGCCTTGTGACATGAACCGGGGAAACGTCATCAGAAAAGCGGTGACAACAAAATACGGGCTGATGATAAAGAGAGAGAGTGACAGGAACCCCGTACATAAACTAGTTGTTGTTGAACGCAGTGGTGGACGATCAGGTCGACGTATAATGGAAGAAACAGGGAAGCGGGAAGAAGGGAGCGGGAACAACTCAGCCACGGCCTAAATGGAGTATATGAGCTCGAAACGCAAGAATTAAATAAAGGGTGAAAATTTGCGAGAAAAACGTCCGAGATGCAGCTCACGGCATACAGGTCACAGATAGGCCGCCATGGCAACGCGGCTTCACAGAGATTCAATGCCGATCATCGCCCGGACCAGGTGATTGGTCGAAGGCTGGGATTTCGGGACATTACAGACGCGGCGCTTACACTGCCTCATTGGCAGGTCACATTCGTCACTGTCATTACAAAGTGCAGGCTGCAGAGAGCTTGATACCGAACTTTGAATATATTTATATCTGGTATGCAAAAGGAACTCCGAGACGAAAAGCCGACGCCAGATGCGTGTGGGTAGCTAAATACAGAAATAATATGAGTGTAAAAAAGATGAGGAAAGGACTGAGCCTAAGAAACTGTAGATCGAGAGCATGTGGCACGTGAGCTGTACATGGATTTCGGCGGGAGATCCAGGCCAAGATAATAGGGGTTTTAGAACATAAAGGAGTAAATAAAGACCAGAATTGTCGCGATGGTGGCAACCATGTACTGGAGCTCGAACCATGCGGCCTGGCCACCGAAAGCGATCTTCTTGCTCTTCTTGGTGGGGTGTGCAACGCCGGTCTTTGGATCGCGCGTGAGCAGCTCTTCACGCTCCGGCATGGAGGGGGGGTGGATCGCGTAAGACACGGGGGTCCAGAGCGAAGAGCAGATGAAGAGGAAGGTGAGTGGAGGCCAGAACGCGTGGGTAATGAGACAGAGAATGATGTCTCTGAAGCCCGAGTTCTGCGCAAAGCAGCGGTAAGAAGAGATGACGACCGCAATCAAAGTCACGTAGACGAAAGCCAGGTGGAAACTGGCCATGTAATTAAGAAGGATGACACGAAGACGAACGAACATATTCTTGGTCTTTTTGGGATCACGTTCGTTAAGGGTGGAGCCAAGAGATCCGGTAGGCTTGAAGGCCTGGGTTTGACCACCCAGCCAGGTGGGGAGGATGAAGGAGCGCACAATACAGAGGGCGATATAGGGCGACATCCAGAGTTGGTAGCGCGATCCTCGCTGACCGGTGTGGTATCCGGCGGGAACGAACAGGGCCAATTCACAAAGACGGTTAGACACGGTTGCCGCGAAGCAGGACCAGATCAACCAGCGGAGTTGCTCTTCAGTCGCAAAGGCGACTAGGCGCTTGCCCCACAGAAGAATGATAGGAATGGCGAAGAGGGACGCGGTGAGAAGAAGGGTATAAACACTGAGCGTGGCATACAGGAATCCAGAGAATCGCTGGGCGAAAGTCATCTTCTTGACGGCATCGCCGTAAAGACAGAACTTCAGCTTGGCAGCGGTGTCGACGGTTCCGATAGCCCATCGTGTGCGCTGCTTGAGATGTCCACCAAAGTCCTCAGGGACGGTACCGAATTGGAGGGGTTCGTGGATGTAAGCGGTCCTCCATCCTCTGCCAAGCATCAGTGTGGAGGTCGCGACATCTTCCGCCAAAGAGCCAAGAGGGAAGTTGCCGATCTCTTCGAGAGCCTCGCGTCGGACGACATAACCAGATCCAGTACACCAGGCGACACCGAGCGCGTCCTTGATCGGCTCAATAACATGCACGAAGAAATCCAAACTTTGGGCGAGGGGGTCGGATGCAGGGGTGTTGTAAAACAGCTGCGGCGGGCATGCAAGGGCCATCTTGGGGTCCACCAACAAGTGGGGAAGAATCGCACGGAGCCAGTCTTGTTCGGGAATCTGCAGGGTGTCAGTCAGGTGTGAAATTCCAAATTGGGCCGCGTATTGTCAATTTACCATATCAGCGTCCAGAGCAGCCATGAACTGGCCAGCGCCTCCGGGAAGGAGGGTCGTCTGTTCCAGACCGTAGTTGAGGTTACCCGCCTTGAAGTGATGGGGCTTGCCGGGGATCTTTTCACGAGCCATGTAGATGACATTGGGGTGGATCGTGGCTAGTTGGTTGCAGGCGTCTTCCAGGGTCTTCGACCGAGCGTCGTCCAAAATGATCACTCGCATCGAATCGCGTGGGTAGTCCTGGTCACATGCACCGCGCACGGTATCAAGAACAACATCGTCCTCTTCGCCGCAGCAGGTGATGAACACATCCACAGTCGGGCATTCATTGCCTGTCAATCGAAGCTTGGCTCTGCCTCGCTTCTTCAGAGCCATCATGGTCCAACAATTGTGCATGAGGGAGGGGATTGCGACAGTGATTTCAATAGCCACAAACACCCAAGCTCCGGCGTAGGATACCCCGGCCACATTTTGCGCCATGATAATGCAGGCAATGCGGAGGCCCAGGTAAAACAGGTAGATACCCGTGTTGGCCAATGTCAGGAAGGGCACGAGGAAGAAGACATAACGCTTCCATCCTTTCCAAATTTCCACATCGTCTCGGTCGTGGATTCGGGCAATAGATCCCGATTTGACCCAATCCTTAGCAAATCCGGGCGACGCCGGCGCGGTTACCAGTGGGGCTAGACTCTGGTGGCTTTCCTGCACACCACCCTGGTACTGTTCAACGGCACAAGAGGTTAGGATGGGAATCAAGACGAGGAATGGAAAATGGGACTGGAGAGGACATTATTTACCAGAGTTGGGGAAGCTGATCGGGAATCGTAGGGCGTTTGGGTATTCCACGGCGAGCCGCTAATCGAGTCGGAGTGGCCGGACATCCGAGCTGCGGGCTGCAGCCACACAGGCTGACCATACTCATCGGTAGGGAAATGGCCGGGCCTGATGGGGGTGAGGGCTCTCGGGGAAATTGGTGATGGCGCGAAGGGCTCTTGATCGAAGCTGGCATTATTCGATTGGTAGCGATAAGTGTTCAACTCGACCTTCTCATCCTGATCGTCATTGCGTCGATCCATCTCGACGGTTTGGAATGTTCGATGAGAATGGAAGCCAAAACGAAGGTGATCAGCTCGAAGAGCTGTGGTATGCGGAGGTTTGAAAGAAGAAGAGAAGAGCAAAAGAAAGGAATAATATTCTTATCGTGTACAGTAAAGGCCCATACGACGATCCTATAGAGAAAAAGACATTAAGCCCTGAGACTAGTGTGCCAAGAGGTTGGCCGCATTTGGTGGCGTTATGATACGCTAGCAAAAATAGATTTTTTTCCAATTAAATTTCAAAAATTTTAATTGGATTTGCGTAAGTCGGGGTCTGGGTTCAACGGCTAATGTCTCTGATTTTCTTGTTTGCGTTTCCCCGAGGTTTTTTGTCTTTGATTTTCCAACTGGTTTTGGTTCCCGCAAGCGGGTTTTGGTACCTGGTACGGTGTACTCGTACCTGAGTACCTGGTAATCTTACCATCCACTTTTTGCGATTTGTGTATTTACTGTAATCTTTCCATTGATCTGGGATGATTTTGGACCTTATGCAAGCGGCGCTAACCAATCATGGGCTGTTAATCTATCCCCAACCACCACCATAGGTGCCCCTCCCAATCAACAACCAAGGGTCTGGGTTACATTTGGTACCTGAATCAGGACCAGGTGCGTGTGCCTCCCGAGATCATTACACACAATTACACCTGGGCAATATGCATGCAGACTCTTAGCCAGGCTTGTTCTTGTTCCCCACCCTGACCCTTCCTTCGAGCCACTATTAGCCTCGATCGTCTTAAACAGTTCTAACCAAATGCATCAATCTCCACCTCGGCCGGTCCCTTCCACTTATCGTTATCCGATGTGATAGCCCAAGTTTTGCCTCTCTCCAACCCCATTTGCTGATCTTGGTCCGTCGCTGTTCTCGCTTTTTTTCCTTTGACGATCTTGCTTCGCTCTTCGCTCGTTGCTCCCTGTGATTTCGTGCCTTCCTCGTCTCGCTACTATTTGACTACTTTGCGACCTTTTTATTTTTTCCCTCGTCATATATCGTTCTCACTTTTGGCCATGGTTGTTGGAATTGGACTGCTGGTCAATGCGGTCCTAGTGGCCATCCCCATTGGGGGCAGCGTTGGAGCCCTCATGGGTATCGATGCTCACCGTTCAGCAACGGGACAAAAGCCACTCTTCACCGGAGGTACCGACGACGACAGCGGTAGCATTGGTCATGGTGGTGGTACCAATGGCGGCACACATGGCGGCAGCGAAGTTGTTCCCGATGACGATGGCATCACCCGTATCTCCAAATGTGATGTTTCTTACGGAATCATTCCTCCCTCAAAGACTGAGCAATACACACGTGAGTCAAATTCCTCTTCAACCGCAGACTGAATACTCACAAGACGGCAGTGAACCCCAACCCGTGGGGTGTGAAGGCTGGTTCAGACGACGGCGACTTGTGTCTGGATGTATGTCTCCTCTCTTCTACTGTACACCCTCAAGCACCTACTAACAGTGCTCCAATTTAGGTCCTCATGTGGAACAACGCAACATATCCGACCAACACCGCCCCCGAGTTCTCCGTTACCTGGCAATACGACCAAGGCCCGATTACCGCTCCTGTGCATGCATACCCCAACATCCGGGTGGATGATGTCTTGCCAAAGAAGATGAGTGATGTGAAGGAGCTCTATGTGGACGTCCACTGGACTTATGGAGTGGGCAAAAACAAGTCTGCCGAAACCACCGACATTGATGCCCTGAAGGACATCAACCTTTCGACCAACGTGGCCATCGATATGTTCTTGGACAGTGATAAGGAAAAGGCCGAAAATGGAACAAATGCCAAATTCGAGGTCATGGTCTGGTTCTGGATGTCATCCGTGGCAGCCCAGCCTCACGGTTGGTCCAAGCCAGGGAAGAACAAAACCATTGAAGGACAAACGTTGTGAGTTGTGTTCCCGTTATACCATCCAATTCCATCTGCTAACCAATTTCTTTCAGCACACTGTTCCAAGACAAGAACGACGAGGGTACTATGGTCCTGTCTTGGGTCGCAAGACCGTTCCTCACAGATGCCCTTGAGAAGTTTACTGGTGACATTTATCCTCTTATCAGCGAACTTTACACGACGGAGAATGATGATTATCCCTCTAGCGATGACTATCTTGGCAGTCTGAGTTTCGGAACAGAGGCCTACGATGTGAAAGAACATGTCACTTTCTCGGTCCCCAAGTACGAGATTTCTATCAAGACTTGAGGCTGTACATTATGTGATATCAAGCATTATTTCTTTCCTTTACATATACATGAGCGATACATTATGTCAATTCCACTTCTGGTTCTGAAACGGAGACCTTTCTTTTTACCTGGGCAGTTGAGCTTGGACCCCCAGCTTCAATTTCATACCACTCATTGAAAGAATTTAAACCCCCTTCAAGTCACTGCATGTCCCTCGGCAGATTGTGTATCTCAATTGCTGAAATGGGGTAAGCGCAGCCGTCAGACTCGGACACTCTCCGGGAAACTGCGAGTCCCCCGCAAGCATTCCAGTACAATGCACGGTATAGATGACACCATCGCGCGTGATAATCATCGCATCTTTCACTATAGTTACACCAACCCCAAACCCCCGCACAAGCAGTCGCTTGAATAAAGAGAACACCCTTGACAATGGAAAGAAACAGAAAACAAGGCACTTGGATGGTTTGGCGTGTCGCGTTCAGCTATCTTCCGACGTAGCATCAATGGATCGAACCATGCCAACCCCGATTACACTCAATTCAAAGACGAGCCACGAAGTTTCCAGCCATGAAGTCCATCACCTTCAATCCATCCCCGAAGCAAAGGACGGACTATGGCTTCAGTTTCTGACAAAAGCCAAATGGTATCCAGCAGACATGCCACATGCAGAAAAGAAGCTCATCCTCAAACTCGACTTCCTGATCCTAGTGTTCGGCTGCCTCTCATTCTTCACGAAATATCTAGACCAGCAAGCCATAACCAACGCCTACGTCTCGCACGTCCACCTCGCCCCCCAAACATTGAACAAGACTAATACCCCACCAGTGGCATGAAAAAAGACCTTAATCTACAAGGCAATGCACTAAACTACATAACAGCGGTATTCTGGGCCTCGTACTGCACATCCATGATACCAGCCTGTTACTGGTTAACGCGCACGCGAATCAACATCGCGCTACCGAGCCTCGAGGTAGGCTGGGGACTATTCACGTTTGGGTGTGCGTGGGCGTGCAATCTGGAGACGCTTTACGCAATGCGATTCTTTATTGGGATCTGCGAGTCTTGCTCTTTTACCGGTGTTATTTATGTCATTGGCTCGTGGTATAAGCCTGGGGAGGTGACGCGGCGCGTTGCGCTCTTCTTTATTGCTTCGCCTCTCGGTACTATGTTTGCTGGGTACCTGCAGGCAGCTGCATATACAAATCTGGAGGGGAGACATGGATTGGCCGGGTGGAGGTTCGTATGCCTATTTATAGAATGGTGTATGAAAGTGCTAATCGCATCCAAGGTGGTTGTTTATTATTTGCACAGTGATCACAATTCCTATCTGTCTTCTGTGAGTCGCGCACTGTTCCCAAGATTTTGATCTTTTATTCTCTCTTCCTATTCTTTTGGATTTTTTTTGACTGACTGACTGACATAAATAAGCGGATACTTTGTCTTTCCTGATGTCCCGCATCGCTCAAAGCCACGATTCCTAACTGCGACTGAGCATGAGATCGCCAACAGCCGCCTGAAAGGGCTGACAGCACCGAGTGAGCTCAAGGTTTCCCGGGCGATCTTTAGGCGCGTCTTTGGGCGCTGGCATTGGTATGTCTTTGTTGTGCACTGGATACTCATGGATCAGAACTTCACACCATACTCGACGCCTTTCAGTCTCTACCTCAAGGCAAAGCCGGATATTTATTCTGTCTCGCGGGTGAATACACTGCCAACCATAGCGACAGCGATATCGGTAATTGCTGCGCTGGTCGCAGGCATCACTGCGGACCGCCTGCACAATTTCTGGATCCCATCCGTTGTGACGAGTATACCTGTCTTAATCGGATTGGTTTTACTTGTTGTCTATAATGTTGGAGAGACGGGACGGCTAGTGGGGTTCATTATCACTGGATTTGAAGGAGGTGAGTCAAAGTCGGGTCTTCGATCAACCATATCTCTCGGTTATAATAGCCGAGCGTTAATTAACCTTTTGCCCTAGCGATCAGTCCACTAACAATGAGCTGGGCGACTGTCACCATGGCTAATGATGCCGAGGAAAGGGCCATTGTTACGGCAAGCATGAATGCTATTGGACAAGCGATGGCGGCCTGGACTCAAATATTCCAGTACCCGGCTACTGCTGCACCGCACTTCCGCGCTGGATTTATCTCTAACTTGATGACTACGATCGGGCAATTTCTCAGCGTTGGCCTCATCGCGTTCCTCGTGAGTCGGGATAAGCGGAAAGGATCAAGTGGAGCCGATTCTGCAGAAAACTTTAGATGACTTGCATATAGCATGCATGATATATACGAGTTCGACGCATCTGGCAACCTCTGTGTTTTGGATATCCAAACAGTGTCCAGCACACCATTTTAGGGTTGGTCACGAACCTTGGAAGTCCGGGAAAACGAGACCCAGAACGGAAGGCACGCGAGCAACAACGTGGCGATGTGTCAAACTTTGCTTTTGCCGCTTTTGCAAAGTCTTGGCGTTGAGCACGACATTTGGAGACCCACTATCTTGCTTTTTTTTTTTAACAATGGATATTCTTCTGCTTTGGCAGCTCTTCTTATTTTTCTTTTCTTTCCTTATTCTCGTGTCTATATCATTTGGTTGTATATATACATAGGACCCTCGTGTCCAACAGAGACATAATTCAAAATGGCTCCTCCAGTCGCCGAAGCAGAGGTTACCTCTGAGCATACCAATGAAACCCACCAGCTCACCCGGAATCGGTGGTCTTTCTACCGCTCCATTCCTTTCCAGATCGCCATCGCCAGTGGTGTTTCATTCACCGCACCCGGAATGTGGGATGCGCTGAACAACCTCGGAGCGGGTGGCGCTGCTGAGCCCTACGCCGTCTCGGCCGCTAATGCTTTGGTCTACGGATTATTTGCGGTTGTGTGTGTTGCCGCTGGTGCTATCAACAATCGTATCGGTCTTCGTTTCGGTCTCGTTCTCGGTGCCATCGGTTACCCCATTTATGGTGCCGGTCTGTACACCAACACCTACCACCAGACGACATGGTTCATGCTCTTCGGCTCCGCCCTTTGCGGTATCTCCGCAGGTTTCTTCTGGGCTGCAGAGGCAGCCATCATTATCGGTTACCCTAGCCCTAGCGAGCGTGCCTTCTACCTCGCTATCTGGCAAACGGCCAAGGCTGCTGGTCCCATCGTCGGTGGCGCTATCAGCTTGGGTCTCAATGCCCAGCACGCTGGCAAGGGAACTGTCAGCGCTGCTACTTACATTGTCTTCATTGTCATCATGTGTCTGGGTTTCCCCATTGCGCTCTGTCTCAGTCCTGCAGAGAAGGTCCAGCGCAAGGACAGGTCTCTCGTCATTGTTGAGAAGAAGGAAACCTGGGGCAAGGAATTCAAGGCCGTGTTCTCTCTGTTCACTACCCGTCGCGTCCTCCTCCTTCTGCCCGCCTTCTTCATCAGCTACTTCTACAACGGCTTCATGAGCACCTGGCTGACCGACTACTTCACTGTCCGATCCCGCGCTTTCTCGTCATTCTTCACCAACTTTTCTGGAATCGCGTCCTCCTTCATTCTCGCCGCCTTGCTCGACCGTCAATCCATCTTTATCAAGACCCGCGCCAAGATTGCCTTCACCTCCATCGTTGTTATCCTCACTGGAACCTGGATTTGGGCGAGCATCCTGCAGAACCAATTCTACAGTGCCCCGGAGGCTCCCGTGTTCGATTGGTTCAAGGGTGGATTCGGCAAGAGCTATGCCCTGATCTTCTTCTGGCAGTTCGGAGGCCAAGCCTTCCAGCAATTCCTGTACTGGCTGATTGGTCAATACAGCACAGACATCTCTGCCTTATCCTACCACTGCGGTATTCTGCGTGGATTTGAGGCTCTGGGCCAGACCGTTGCATGGGCCATGCAGAGCGAAGGTAACGCGAACCACTTCGTCAGCATTGGTCTCAACTTTGGTATCACCCTTCTTGCAATCGTCCCCACGTGGATTGTGCTCTCTGAACTGGAGCACAGCCACGAGGTGCAGGTCACCGCGGAGGACGTGAAGACGGCTCCGGCCGACGAGTCAAATGCTTGATTTCGTTTCGAGTCAACCTTCGAGTCTTCAATTTGCATATAATTTGCATATTGCATGGTCCTTGGCAAACACACCAAGACCACTTGTTTTTATTATTGTATTATTATTATAGACGATATACCCCGCTCACCTCAACGCCGAGCATGTTTTAAAATTTATTCACTTTCAACAGATACAACGGGCCGGCTATTTTTAGTCGTCTTCACCATTCTCAAGCTCATATGACCCACTACCTAATCGGCTTTCTTTTCACTAGTCAGTGGCGCAAGTAGGTCGTTACAAGTCAATATTCTAATGTAAATTTCATTACAAGGTATCAGTCTATTTATGTCATGTATCGCTATCTAACCCGATCTAGACCCAGCCCAAGAACCAATTAAACTATACTGTAGCCCTTCCAGCTTCCGTCAACTCAATGGGCTCATCACTCACATCGACTTGCACGGTTCTATAAATCTGCAATCCACCTGAAGCATCAGTGGGCCCCATGATGGGATCCTCCTCCCGTTCCCAGCCGCGCAATCGATCAACCGTGGCAGAGAACCGAGACCGGGAGCGAGTCTTTGGCGTGAACGTATTCAATGTTCCCTTTCGTGATTTGGAGTTCGACCCTGACATTCCATCTGTGTATGAGATGCCGTTACTGTCTTCGTAGGCTGCGATGAAAGATTTGAGAAACGCGCTAACGAGACAGAGTACGCTTGTTGCCAGATACATTTCTGTAGTCACGGTTGCGAAGGCGCCGATGAGAATGGGTGAGGCGGAAACGATCTGCGAGTGTATAAAGTGGAGGCGGAGACCGGCAAGGGGGATGAGTCTGTTTCCAAAGAATAGTGTTAATCGATGCGGAGGTTTTGTATACATGCAGACTTCCGACTTACAATACTCGGCTTTCGAGGGCGAGGAAGACCATGAGTTTCTTGCGCATCGATATCTTGACTTTGTGCACTGCCATTGCTGAGTACAGGAATAGGAAAACCTCAGTGACGATGTCAAGCGCTGTAATGGCCTGCCAACGTGGGAACTATACAGGTATTGTTAGCTCTTGACCAAATCACTTTGGTTGAAGTTGCGCGGGCACCGTACCAAACTGCTACATTGAGCTTCACTGATATCAGCCCACGGACTTGGTGTGCAGCGCACCGCCAATAGTAGGGTAGACATGATCATCCATATGATCACAGCGATCAGTATGATTCGCGCCATATAGCGCTGTGTTTGCGAAAAAAGCGCTTCATAGAAGAGGCAGGTCGAAACCTTGGAGAGGCCTAGAACGAGAATCGAGATAATTTCGGCTGCATATCCGGCCTTTGGGGTATCAGATTCCATATCGTGAGTCGCAAGGAATATTGCGCATTTGGCGAAAACGAACCTTGAGCATTCGGTCGTCTACTGCGTTCCCGGGCTCTACTCGGATTCCCCAGCCATAATGAACTTGGAGCAATACCACCGCTGCCTGTAGAATCGCGACTACCTATCTCGATGTAAGCGAAATGAGGTCTGGCCAGAATTATCCGCAAATTGACAAACTCACCACTAGCACACCGAACAGCAGATCATCCTGCTGTATGATCCGTCTCTGGAAGGAAGCATAGGTGCGCGCAGCGAGCGCAGTAATCACCAAGACAATATAGAAAGAAGCAAGTATTACGATCAACCCACTGTGGTTATTAGGATTGTCTGCCGTTAATGGAGCGCTCACGTCTGGGGGAAACGACGAAGAGGCCGACATGACGGACCAAGATAGAAGGGAAACATTGACAGCACACTACCTGCGAAGTGGTATACTTGAGTACATATGAAAATTGGGGGCGAAGTATTTGAGATAAGGGGTGGTTTCATTTGTTTTGGCTGGAATTTTCTTTTCTTTTCTTTTCTTCAGATGTCGCGCCATCAAACGGTGGACAACCGGATTTTGGGGGCGACAAGGGCTGCAAGGTCAGCGAACAGGATGTGCAGGCAACTCAGAGAGTGATGCATGGTAGGCTATCTTTACACCATTTTAGGCCGAGTCAAATGCCGCCAAGGCTTACCGTGCATCAGGTGTGATTGGGGTATGCGGCCCGTCGTGCTTGTTATGTAGGGGGTAGTGGTTGTAGGGGTACGATTCCATGATATAATAGGGCCAAGGGACCCCGGGAGGGGTCAGGTTGCAATATAAGGCGCTCACGAGCGGTAGGTTCATCCCTGCGGGAAAACTCAAGTGTTGTAGCGAGGAAATCAAGGGTTCAAGCTGCTGGGAGCCGCGACATTTGTTTGTGCGGCTGGGAGCAGCCGCATCAAATAGCTACGAGTAGACTCTCCTGCCAAGTCTCATGTGGAAAGTAGACGTCAGCATTGGCAGTTTGCTTCCCTAAATGGTGTGTTTGATCCCAACTCGACATGGGTGTGTGTTGTGGCATGCATATTCCCCACATGGTCAACGCGCAATTGATTTCTTTTTGAACCCTCGTGCGGACCCCAGATAAAGATCGATCGAAACCTCGATTGATTTAAGCCTCTTCGATGGCTTCTTAAGAGTTCTTGTTTTCTCTCTGGGTAGTATAGAGTGGAACACCGGAGTAGGGAGAACTGATTCGGGCCGGTTGCAGTGAGAGATCGGCAACCCCCCACTCACCAAGTGGCCCCGGGTCTGGTGGGTTTCCTCGGGCAAGACTCCGTTCTGGAAAGTCTAATGTACATATTTCCTTTGAACACGCGATATCTCCCGTTAGCCCCCCTTGCATCCTGTGTTTTTATCCCCTCTGTCCTGCTCATTGTGTGACCTTCTTTTGAGCCATCCATCATGTCTTCCGTGAAAGCATCGGGGTTGGAAATGCAGGATACGGAGCTCCAATATTTGGATAGAGAGGGGGCTCCTGACCAAAAGGCTGGAACGACGTTGGGAACGGTTATTGATGACCATGATATGCAACGGATGGGCAAAGCCCAGGAGCTCAAGGTATGTCTACTATCCATACCCCTTATATCTCAGTTTCTCACAATAGGACAGAGAAATTTGCGACCTGTCGCTGCTTTGAGTTTTGCGTCTGTTTTGCAAGCCACGTGGGAATTCATTTTAATGTCAGTATTCTCTGTCGCCGTGCAGAACAGTCATCTAACAGATTCCAGCTCTAATTATGAAGGTTTGTACAATGGAGGCTTGCCGGGTTTGTTCTATTCCTATGTATGGACATTTGTCGGATTCGGATTCATTATCGCCTCGATCTCGGAAATGGCGTCTATGGCACCCACATCGGGTGGTCAGTACCATTGGGTGTCCGAGTGGTCTTCGCCCCGGTATCAGAAATTCCTCAGTTATATCACAGGTGAGTCACTCCTTGTCCTCTCGCAGGAGGCGTTGACTAAATGAATATCTTGATATCGGGCGCAGGCTGGATGTCAGTTCTAGCTTGGCAGGCTGGAGCAGCATCTGGTTCGTTTCTCACGGGTACTATCATCCAGGGACTGATCAGCGTCCGAGACCCGGACTATGAGCCCCAGAACTGGCAGGGTACCCTATTCGTTTTTGCCATGGTCTTGGTGATTTATATTTTCAATGTCTATGCATCAGACATTATGCCCATTCTGAACAACCTGTTGATGATTCTTCACGTCTTATCATGGGCAGTCATCCTGATCGTTCTCTGGGCTATGGCCCCTCGCCGATCTGCCGAAGCAGTTTTCCTTACCGAATGGAAGAATCTCGGAGGCTGGTCTTCAATGGGACTGAGTGTGATGATTGGACAAATTTCGGCCATCTATGGTTCCCTGAGTACGTGAGAAAACGGTATACCGAACATCGGAGATTCTAACCGTCACTCAGGCTCGGACGCAGCAGCGCATATGTCTGAAGAAGTGAAAGATGCAGCTCTAAATGTCCCCACTGCCATTGCTTGGGGTTACTTCAGCAACGGGATCATGGCCATTATATTGATCGTCACATATTTATTCGCCACACCTTCAGTGGAAGACTCCCTCAATGACCCCACAGGATTCCCATTTCTCTATGTTTTCAAACAAGCGACCTCGGTGGCAGGTGTGAATGGCCTGACGGCGATCATTCTTCTTCCCGTGATCTTCAGCAACATTTTCTTCAATGCCTCTACCTCCCGGCAGACCTTCGCCTTCGCCCGAGACAACGGTCTTCCATTCGCGAAATGGATCAGCAAAGTCGACCCCCGTCGTCAAATTCCCGTGAATGCAATCGGGCTCTCATGCATCATCAGCTGCGCCCTTTCCCTGATCAACATCGGGTCCGAGACGGCATTCAACGCTATCATTTCCCTCAATGTCGCTGCTCTGATGTACACCTACATCATCTCGATCACCTGCGTGATCTATCGCAAAATCTGGCATCCCGATACCCTTCCACCTCGGCGGTGGGATATGGGCCGGTGGGGACTGGCCGTCAACATCATTGCACTCCTGTACAGCTGGTTCGCGCTCTTTTGGGCTCTATGGCCTGGAGACAGGGAAGTCACACGAGAAAACTTCAACTGGAGCGTGGTTATCTTTGCTGGTGTTTTTATAATCAGCATCGGTATGTATTTTGTGAAAGGAAGGAGGGAGTACGTTGGTCCTTCGGCCATTGTTCAGAATGATGAAAGTCGGTGATCTGTACCTAGTCAGATATTTGTACAATTGGTAGGTATAAAATCGCCAAAAGCTGACAGATTCAGTGGGCTAGATGCGCCTGAAGGGTCAGGAGTGCAGGTATGATGAGATTTAGAATTTATGACCTTAGAATGTACGCAGGTGATGTCTTTACAGAACTTCTTTCACCATTGTTGCGGGTCATTTATCCACAAAAGTGGTCTGACCGCCGATTGAGAAATCATCTTACGGTGATACTTAACACCATCCAAGCAAAAGTACGAATTGCTGCTCTTCCACCCCAAGCCATTCAATTGGAAAGCTTGGATATGACCGATGGGGTTCAAGAGATGCACGGAATATATAGATTTCGATGAATATTAGAGTAAATGGGTGAGTATGGGCTTATTCAAAAGAATATGCTTTCACTTCATACTGACGTATCTGGAAGGCTGGGGGCACACGTACCCCGTGGGTAAGTAACAGCGCATAGACATCCCGAGGTCGGTCAGAGATTGATATACAAGTAAATCACCACAATTAAGCTCTGTAGCTCAACCGGACCCACAGCCATAACAGTCATTGTGTACTCATTGATATCCTGGATGCCGATGAACTGTTCCTCGGCATCTATTTATAGATTTTAGCAAAAACCTCATGGGCCCTTGTGACCCACACGGCAAACACTAATGCCGCTCCATGCACATTTGACGCGCAAGACGAACTCGACGGATATCCTCAGCCGGTCCAGCTAGATCGGTCTTTCGAATTATAGATCCAAGTACTCCGTACCGGCAACCCCGGTGTATACTGCAAGGCGTCTCGACCGATACTGCGGCAAGATACGAGTACGAGTAGTAGCATGATCGACTCCATTCTAAAGTTCTATTTGCCCATCGCATATGCAGAAAAGCAGACAACACAGAACGTGCAAAAGGTACTCCGTACAGTGTACATTATATGCACAATATTTAATCCACTTCCAAGATAATAAAGAAAGCGACCAAGGTAGCCAATTGGATGATGCCGGAAGCATGTGCCAACCCGGTATTATAGATAAATCTTGGAAAACCCCAGAGTCGAATGAAATCCCAAATGTATCAATCACAGTGGATTTAGGCAGGAGAATATGTGTATACTGTATTCGTGACAGAACAGGCTGTGGTTCGACCCGGTTGCCACACTCGGAGGAACATACCCAATCGCCGTATATTACCCATACCATGGGAGAAGCGCCAAGTTTCCCCCCAACTGATTTTTCTCTACTGAAGTTCCATGGGTGTATGTATCCAGACCATCACGGATATTCAATACGGTAACTTGAGTACAGAATAACTTACCAGGGCATTGCGTGTACAAAGCCCAAAAAAGAAAAAAGTGTAAACCTTTGCTGTTGGAATAAAATCCATCTGATTCCCGATCTCTGTCTTTGCTTCTGCTTCTGCTTCTGCTTCTACAATTCCTTTCGTTTTCACTCTACAATCGTTACTCCACTTGGGTTTATCCACAGTCTACAGTCTACATACAGTCTACAGCCAGCACATAGCAAACGGAATAGCGCACTCAACTCCGTTCTCCACAAACACTCCATTTTCATCGGAGACAATCGCCTCTCAATCGCCTCTGCATCCGAGAGCGAACGACCCTTTCATTGTCTCAAAGCGCAACCAATTGTGCTATCGCATCTTGGCGGTTCCCACACGCTCCACAACGGCCGTAGCTCAGCAGATCCCAGCCGTTTCAGACCTGCCTTGAATCGCGGACGCTAAAAAAGACGGTGGAACTCGCCTTAATAAAATGGCCGCCCCCCAGCCTGCTCCCACGCGGAGTCGTGGTCTCAGTGTGAAATCCGAGCAGTCGCAAAACTCCGCAAACTCATCCAAAGGTCACCAGAGAGGTCCCTCGGAATCATCGCAAGAGAAACATCGCCGCAGTCTCCAAACCAAAGCCGACCCTCTTGTCGCTATGAATGAATTGCAGCCTAGTACGTTTGGCCCCAACAGAAATCCCGGTCGCATCGCTTTCGAAAAAAAACTCATTGGACTGACTCCCTTTCCCAGTTGCCGTGGCCCTGCAGAAATCAAATCTGGGCTCTCTGCGTGAGATCGAGCACAAAGATCAATATGGAAATGTCATCAGTTCGTTCCCACTAGCATTCTCCGGCGTTCTGGGGCGTTGCTAACCCTTGCCTCAGCCGATCCCGACCTGTCAAACCCCACCCGGCCACGTTTCGAGCGCCCCTTAGACACCATCCGATCGTTTGAGGCCGCCATCTACGGAGCCTATCGCAATAATCGTGGTTCGTATGCCAGAACAGGTACTTCGTCTCACCGAAGGTAAAATACAGAATCAACGCTAACACGGGATTAGAAGATGCTGCATCACAGATGGGCGACTTTAGCCGCCGAACCAGCTATTACGGTCGTACGTTTCAGATCTTTCTCCATCTACAAATCACATCTAATTCCATTCTCTGCAGCCCAAAATGGCAACGGCAATGGCGCCAACGGTTACGGAAATAGACACGATCAAGGCCATTACAGCCAGGCCCAATCCCGACCAGACAGCATCATAAACGCCTATTCAGGTGCACCGCAATCTCCCGAAGCTCCCAATCCATACCCCTACAACTACCAGAATGGCAATGGAAACGGAAACGGAAACTCAAGAAGACGCCCCAATCACCGCTCCCCATCGTACCCAGCCTCTCCCTCCTCCCCAACCTCCCCATCCGAGTACCCCAACATGGCGCAGAACGTCAACCCACAATACGGCTATCAGGCAAACGGTTACCAAACAAACGGTTACCAGGCAAATGGCTACTTCGACAATGCCGTTTCCAACAACTCCGGCTCAGACCCACACGGCCATTCCACAGACCCCAGCTCCATAAACAGCTCCAACGACCAATTGCAGCAGCAGGCCCTGCAGCAACAGCGTCTGGACGAGCGCGCCCAGGCCGAATACGGTTTCTCTGGCTTTGGCAATAGCAACGTTGCCCAACCTGATCCTTCGTGGGCCCCAGCCTCTGGTTCTGGGGCACCGGTACCCCAGCCTCCTGTTCAGGCTGCCCGGCCTAGCCCTGTTCGCCAGGATACAAATGCGTCTGCCAAAGGAGATAAGAGGAAGAGTTGGTTCAAGCGCCGCTTCAGCAAGGATTGATTGGGTCGTTTGATCAAGTCATCTTGCTAGCGAGTGTGGTACCATGTGTATTTTGATCGTGGTCATCTCATGATTTTTCTCTGGAGTTTCCATCTGGCGTTATCTTGTTTCATCTGGATTATGGGAACCTTGGAATTGGGCCAGGATCTGCGATATGCGATATGGGTCGTTATGCTTAACATCTTTTTTTTCCTCTCTTCCATTTCTTGTTCATTTTTTTTGCTCTCATGATTTGATCTGTTTTCATTTGCATGCTGTAATGAGGTTATGATACATCGGATATTTCGTTCTTGGCTTTTGTTATCTCATTGTCATTGATACTGTAGGCCTCTGCGTTCATTGTTTTGCATGTACTCATACATTCGACACGAGATAGTTCGCATATACTCAACAGACTTGTATTTACTGAGACACTGGACTCTTCCTTTCTACTGGTCATACTTCGTAACGCTGGTATACTGCAGGTACCCGTGGATACAATACTCGGAGGAAATGTATGAAATACATGGAAGAAAATCAAATCGGAACAACTGACCATTGGGAAACTCTCCGTAAACGAGGAGCCGGGAATCAAAATATAAACAAGACAAACTATCCGATGTGGCTCACTTTCGCCCAAGAAGCTTGTGCTTCAGCTTGTCTGCCAATCCCTCGTGTGCAACCTTCTTCTTGTGCTCTTCCTTCTCTTTGCGCGTTGCTTCGTCGAGATGGACATTGCCCTGACCGCCGCGCTAGAATAAGAAGTTAGCCTGTGTGGATCCAGGGTATATTGAAAGTAAGAGACTGGATATGTGTGTGGGGAATCACAGGAGCAGGGAAGGTAATCGAAACGGTGTTGGAACCGATCATAAAATTGATCACGAAAACGTAGTTTCACTTACTCCGGTGTGATAGGTCTCATCGGTTGAGTTGCGAACTGCGAGTTCAGGAATCATCTCTGCGTCATGGGGCACTTTGGAGGTTGGTCGCACCATAGGCGATCCGATGTTGCCTGCTCCACCGCGCTGCAGAGTGGTTAGTTAGGTATGTCCCACAGTAGGGTATCCTTTCTTACACCAGCGGAGTATGCGCCGTCGCCTTGGTCTCCATAAACACCTTCACGAACGATCTCACCGTCGACGTATCTGGATTCTGTTAGATACATTACTACCGAGTGACGGGGGTGGGGTTCGTACTCTGTGGTGTCATGGCCGATGTTCCCTTGGCCTGGTAACTCAGTGTGTTAGCGACGGTATAGAAATGGGGTCTGGAGATATTACCTCCGCGGCCATGGGAGACCATGGGCTGTTCGTGTTCAGGCATCTGGGTCAGATGTTGCGAGGGGACTATAAGTGGAGAGGATCACTAGGCGGGGAAAAGAGGCTTATCGAGAGCCACGAGGCGATAAGAAATGCAGGTACGATGGGGAATCTCTTCTCGATAGGTTCTCCAGGGTTCTTGATATAAGTGCCGTAGTACAGGTGGGGAGATCTGGTTATATAGGTCTGGATCACGTTAGTACTCTTGGCAGACTTAGAGAGGTACCCACACTCTCAGTGCTCCAGGGTCTTATCCTTAAAATCAGTTAGAGAGTCCGAATATACACGATGTCAATCGCATTAAACATCAAGAACCCGTGGGCTTTCGTGACGTTCATGATAAGATAGTAATCTCCGATTGGTGGAGGAGTGACAAATGATCAGTGCTGATAAGAGAGTCTATGCCGTCTACTTAAGTAGTTCTAAAGTTATAGGGGCTCTAGCATTATACAGCCTTGTAGGATATCTGAACCTCGATCTGAAGACTTGCTTTAGGGCTGCTGGAGGAAACTCCAATATTTCAATCGTAATAATCACACACTGGAACGTTGCCGGGGTATGGAATACCTCCATAAATCGGACGACGTAGATGCTCTCCGAAAATAATCCAGCGGGCTACAACTAAGTGAGGATTTTGTCATTTCCTAAAAACATAGGAACACTAAGGCCAACGTCATGAAACAAGGGCGGTGATGTCTATTGAAGAATGCGATCTGCTGTAGGCTGTGGATTCGAAGTGGAGTTCTACTAAATTGCGGGCTTGGTCTCCACATAGACACCAAGAACTATGTGTACAATATCTGCACATGCACTATAGAGCAATATGGGTAAGCACTTGAGCACCCTTTGTACGATTGGGGGAGTGAGTGGTGAGTGGCTAGTGGGCATTCTATTCAATCTCCACTGAGCAATTCAGCTGTGATCGCAATGCGGAGTAGAAAAGGCGATTCTGTAGAGCCAAGAATGACGTATGCCCATTGGAAAGTTGACCACTGAAGAAAGTATATCCGCAAGTTTAGAAGGTGACACTGGTAGCCTACAAGACTCAAAAGAACAGCCCTGGAGAAACTTGGGTTATTTTGTGCATGCGTTCCGGATAGGATCGCCCAGTGGACGTACCAGAGCCCTAGTCACCTAGCATCTAGAATCCTCGGAAGTCTGTTAGTTGTAACGTGATATACTAGTCAAATATTTTGTAACTAGAGTTGTGTAATTTCCCTATGTTTGTTGTATTGTACACTTTAACGACTATAGCTATAGGAGCCGTACTCCGTAATGCAGGAAGTCCAACAGTTATTTTGTGCCATGGTCAAATAGGTATGATAACATGCTGTTAGGACTAAGCTAATACTTGAGAAATTATGTATAGAAATTCAATGATGTTATTCTGCATTTGGTGTGTTTGGCGTTATTCCAAGTCTAAAAACGTCAGTCAAAAAGGTCGCCCGCAGTGGGGACAGGGCGCCAAGCTCGGAATCAAAAAGTCATCCCGCAACGGTCTCTTCATAGGCACTCTGCTCAATCTTGAACCCACGACCATATCATACCTCTCATTGATCCCACTCTGTACCTTCCTGACTGTGTGACTGGTCCCTGATCCTTTAATTGACGTGCCCCTCAACCCCTCCCGACCTCCAAAATGGCATCATACCTGACCGGCAGCGAGGCCTTCACTCGCGAGAAGCAAGCCGCCGCTCAAGCAAACACAGCTCCTACCACAAACTGGGCCGACAAGTTCCGCGGGGTTCGTTGCACCTATCTACCCAACCAAATATCCTACTAACAACCACGCAGGCCACAATCGAAGATCTCGATCCTCCCCCCGCGCTCTCAATCTCCTCACACGACCCAATCGCCACAGCTATTATGGCTGCCTACGAACGCGACTACACCCACCTTACTGTCATCTCCTCCACCAAGCGCTCCCTACTGGGATACCTTAGCATCCCACGTCTAAAGGAGCTTCTACAGAGTGGGGCTGTGAAGGATTCGGACTCGGTTTCCGCAGCCATGCAGCGCTTCAACCGCAAGCGCGGCACCTATCAGACCATCACGATGGAGACTCCGCTTGAGGAGCTGCGGAAATTCTTCGACGGCGAGACCCATCCCAATGGCGAGAAGCAGCAGTTTGCCGTTGTCACGGACCAGCAGCGCAAGTTCGTGCTGGGCGTGGCTACTAAGGAAGATTTGGAGGAGTTCGTTAAGCGCAGACCTACTTGAGTGACTATACGATAGGAGTGATTTTTATTTGGCACTGCATATTGGCGTATCCGTCCTGACCAAGGACTGAAGTCTTGCATTTGTTCCTTCAACATGGACAGCACATCTTTTGAGTCGCTTGGTTGGGTTGATGTGGAAACCGTGATAGCGTGGACACACCCGGGATACTTTTCATTTCACAATATAAGATAATTGGAAGATGTGGCCAGCTTGTAATTTTTTGGTTCGTTCATGATAGCCAAAGGAATCGTAAGATAAACGCCCCGATGCCGAGTAACACCGAAACGCCATATGAATTGATTTGGTGAAGAATATTCGCTGATCTGTCCTATTGCGCCTTCTTGGAGTCTGACTTGGGTGCTTGTCTGTCCTCTTGGTCCTCCATCCAGGCAACGTAGATGTATGCGAACAAGACCACGTTTGCGGTAACGGCCGCAGTAATTCCGGCCAGTGTTGAGCTTCCTATATAAGTTCACGCGTTAGAATTGCCAACGGAACGAGGGGAGTTACCTACCGCTAAAGATAGTGTTCACGGTCAGGAAGTACATCCCAATGGGGCCAGCCACCATGGCTGCTGTGAAGCCGAGGAGTTTATAAATCACATCTCTAGACACCGAAGAGAATAAGCTATTGGTCTTGGAGCGGTTGATATAGAATATAGACTATAGACTGGGGGCTCTCACGCGGGGACGGCTGGGGTCACGTCGGACTTGCCTTGCGGCGCGGGCTTTGCGGCCACATCGGCGTAGGACTGATTGTGAGGACGGCGGGCGGACATGGCAATGGAGGTCGAGAGTAATACAAAAGAGAATAATAGGGTATTGTCGAAGCTTGAGATCTCAGAATGGAGCGCTAGATCCGGACAAAGGACAGTAGTGCGGAGATAACTTAGTGCCTGTGACGTCTGATTGGCGTGGGAATACTGGCACCTGATATCATTGTTCTCAATACTCTCTTCTTTTTTAACTCTCTTTACTCTCTATTCATTATTGAAATAGAACTGATTGATTCTATAGACCATTGTAACCATATATCCCTATTGATCATCAATACCTTCTATACAAAGACAATCCCATTACAGGCGCGTACCATGGTCGCGTTTCCGCCTTGGCAGAAAAAAAAAACGTTCCTGAATAAACGACAATCAGATGGCGAATTAGCCCCATTGTGAGCAATGGACGATTCTGTTCCTCGAGACACTATCCCGAGTACTCCTCCCGAGCACGAGACGATTGCAACTCTTCCAGTCTCTACTCCCTTCCAACCTACTCAGCTAGTGGAACAACCCTATCCAGTGCGCAATACTGTAATCCAAGTTGCTGCATCGTCGCCTCCGGGCCCGCTCTCATCCCCCCCTCGCAAACCGCAGGGTCATCTTTCGTCCTTAATTGCCCCTTCGGGTACTCACTTTCGTGCTCCCGCGCCCGGTCCTGCGAAGCGAACTCCCAAGTTCGATCTTGACGACGGACCAACCTACCGAGGTGGCTCTTCAGACGAAGATTCGCATCTCCAAAGTACCGACATCAAACCTTCTATGTTTGAGAGGACTGTTCGAAGTCCAGAAAAGGAAAAGATTATGGAGTCTCCTGTGCGCACCGATCCCGCAATGGATCGTTTTCGCGAAATTACCAGCAACGCCATGTACGATCCGAATAATGCCCCTATGAAGCGATCCGCCGATGAGATGAGTCCTCCTGCCGCCAAGGGAGTTGCTATGAAGAAGGCTCGTCAGGATGCGCCAGCCCGCGCGCAGCCAGTGGGAGCCCCCGATATTCTGCTGCACGAGATTGCAGACTTTAGAATCCGCGTCAAGGTTGAGCGTGTTAAGAAGGTCATGCCCCAGCTTTCAGTCCGCACATGTATGGATGCGATTATTCAGGCCAAAGGAAATTACGATGCTGCTCTTCAGGCCCTGGCCAATGCCCAGACGGGCGACGATCCCCAGACCGTCGTCATCGAATCTTCCGAAGATGAACTGAACACCACTCCGGCCCCCGGCGCGGCTCCTGTGGCCAAGCAACAGATTAAGGCCCGGGGCACCATTCAGGACAAGTGGGCTGCGTTGAAGGTGGGCAAAGGCGGAGAATCTGACGAAGAAAGCAAGCCTCGTCGTCGACTCGTCCGTGGTCCCAAGTCTGACGTTGGCTCACGCCCTGCTTCCCCTCCTCGTCCGATCACCATCAATGATTCTCCCGCTCCGAAGAAGCTGGGACGACTCCAGAAAGGACGCAGGAACCGCTCACCCGATCGATCTGAATCGCCCGAGGCAATGATGAGCGATTCAGATAACTCTGACGCTCCCGTTAAAGAATCCACCGCTGGCGGTCTGGATTACAAGGTTCTTAAATTTATGAATACTGCATCCGTCACCGATATCGCCGATCTGGCCTCTGTTGCGCAAGATGTCGCTCAACTCATTGTGTCAAACCGTCCTTATGACCATCTTGATGAGGTTCGTGTCGTTTCCGCCCCTGTCACTGAAACGAAGCCAAAGGGCAAGCGAGGAGGAAAGGCTCCCAAGCCCGTTGGTGACAAGATTGTGGACAAATGTGTCGATATGTGGACTGGCTACATGGCAATTGATGCTCTTGTGAGCGAAGTCGAAGCGCTGGGCAAGCCTGTCGCCGACGAGATGAAGAAATGGGGTGTGGACACCTTCGGCAAGCGTGATGGTGAGCTTGAACTCACAAACATTGCCCCAATCCCCAAGGTGGAACACGACTCTGGCATTTCCACTCCCACACGCCCCTCACCACCTGATAGTGATGAGGACAAGCTTGTGCCCTCCAAGCGCAAGTCTCGTTTGATTTCACAGCCTGCTATCATGGCTGACGATCTTGTGATGAAGGATTATCAAGTTGTCGGCATCAACTGGCTGAGATTGCTGTATGAGAACGAACTCAGTTGTATTTTGGCCGACGACATGGGTCTCGGCAAAACATGTCAGGTCATTGCTTTCTTGGCCCACTTGTATGAGACTGGTGACAAGGGCCCGCATTTGATTGTTGTTCCCTCTTCCACCATTGAAAACTGGCTTCGGGAGTTCCAAAAGTTCTGCCCGAAATTGAATGTGATGCCCTACTACGCCGGTCTGGCCGAGCGTGCTATCATCCGCGAGGATATCGAGGACCGTCGCGACGAAATCAATGTGGTCATTACCACCTACACCATTGCCAAGGCAAAGGTCGATGCCAAGTTCCTGCGTGACATGGATTTCTCTGTCTGTGTTTATGACGAAGGCCATATGTTGAAGAACCACCAATCTCAGCTTTACGAGAAGTTGATTCGGATTCGCGCCCGCTTCCGTCTTCTTCTTACCGGTACCCCCCTTCAAAACAACCTTCAGGAGCTTGCATCCCTCCTTGGCTTCATTCTCCCCAGTGTCTTCCAAGAGCACAAAGAAGATCTTCAATCTGTGTTCTCGAACAAGGCCAAGACCACTGACGAATCGCATGCCACTCTTCTGTCAGCACAGCGTATCGAGCGCGCCAAGTCAATGATGAAGCCCTTCATTCTTCGACGTAAGAAGCATCAAGTCATTGACCTTCCAGCCAAGCATTCAAAGGTTGGTTGGTGTACGATGAAGCCTTCTCAGGTTAGCATTTATGATCACGAGAAGGATCAAGTGCGCCAGCTCTTGGAGGACCGCGCTGCTGGAAAGAAGACCGGCTCCAAATCCGCTAATATCCTCATGAAGCTTCGCCAAGCTGCCATCCACCCTCTCCTCGCTCGTCGTCATTACACCGACGAGATCCTCCAAAAGATGGCCAAGGCATGCCTCAAGGAGGAGAAATGGTCCCTGTCCGACCCTAAGATCATCCTCGAAGAGCTTATGCCCTACAACGACTTCGAATGCCACCACATGTGTGTGGAGAACCCCAAGTCCCTGGGCAAGTTCAAGCTCACCAACGACGAATGGATGGACTCCGGCAAGGTCGAAGAGATGAAGGAGCTTCTCACCCGATTCATCGCCAACGGTGATCGCACTCTCATTTTCTCCCAGTTCACCATGGTCATGGACATCCTCGAGCACGTTCTCGAGACTCTGAAGATTGAATTCGTTCGACTTGACGGTCGCACTAACGTCGAGGACCGTCAGTCTATCCTGGACGCTTTCCACGAGCGCACCGAAATCCCCGTCTTCCTGCTTTCCACCAAGGCCGGAGGTGCAGGTATCAACTTGGCCTGCGCTAACCGCGTCATCATTTTCGACTCATCCTTCAACCCCCAGGAGGATGTGCAGGCAGAGAACCGTGCCCATCGTGTGGGTCAGACCCGCGAGGTGGAGATCTACCGCCTGGTCACGAAGGGTACCATTGAGGAACAGATTTATGCACTCGGTCAGACCAAGCTGGCCCTCGATCAGGCCGTTGCTGGTGAGGATGGACCGGATGCCAAGAAGGGCGAGGAGCAAGGAATGAAGGTTGTTGAGACCATGATGCTGGCGGAGTTAAAGGCAAAGAGCGAGGAGGGCAAGGAGGGCAAGGAGTAATTGCCAAACAAACATTCAACGGAAAATGGATAGTGTTTGCAAAGTGCTGCATTTAATGAGATGCTGAAAATATGGCATTAGTCGGTTTTTACATGGTGTTCATGGCGGTCATATCATGGCGATTCGGTTTCGCATAGTTATTTTTACTAGATCAGGATACAAATCTACGTTTTTTGTACTTGAGTTTGGTCTTCTTTTTTTCTTGTGAGGCGTAGTACATGGATTCTTGTATACTTCAAGATGGAGAGTCCTTTTAAGTACCTGTAAACACAACAGCTGTTTTTCTTGAGAATTATCGTACGGCCCCCGGTCACTGGCCGCGGGGTAAGTCTCCGAACAAAGAAACTCGCCAACTCAGCTATTCTCGGTGTCAACTGTTGCATTTGCATAGAGTAGCTTTTGTGCATTGAACTACATAGTTCAAAGGTCATCCGGGTGGAAGCCAGCCTCACCAACTCACATCTTTGCCCACAATGTCCACCGTGAACATTCAAGAGAATGTCACTTCATCCAATGCCAGTGAGACTGGTCCCTCCGACTTGGCCAACATGAAAGCCCGCTACGAAGAAGAAAGAAGGAAACGCCTCCGCGAGGACGGCAACACGCAATTCATCGAAGTAGCGAAATCAGCCCAATATGAGCATTTTGCAGACGACCCATGGGCTGATTCGGCATCAATTCAGTCCCTGCAAACCAAGTTTCCAAACAACCGAAGCGAAATGATCATCATCGGCGCCGGATGGGGCGGGATACAGAACGCTATTCGCATGGTGGAGAGCGGCATACCAGCTGAGGACATTCGCATTATCGACCCCGCTGGTGGCTTCGGTGGAACCTGGTATTGGAATCGGTACCCAGGGCTCATGTGTGATATCGAGAGTTATACATATCTCCCATATCTAGAGGAGACAGGATACATACCCAGACATAGGTATTCGCAGGGCGAGGAGATCCGCGAATACGTCAATATCGTTGCGCAGAAATGGGGATTGGAAGACTGCGCTGTGTTTCAGACAAAAGCTGAGAAGATTGTGTGGGATGACGATGCTAACGAATGGTCTGTTGATCTTGTTCAAGGTCGTAAGGGCCTGTCTCCTGAGATGCTTCGGGTTCGCTCTTCGTTTGTCACTATTTCGGCTGGTGTGCTTAATTGGCCCAAACTACCTGATGTCCCGGGTATTTTGGACTACAAGGGTGATATGTTCCATTCTGCTCGTTGGGCATACAATCTCACGGGTGGGTCTGCTAAGGACCCATCACTCGTGAAGTTGAAGGATAAGACCGTTGTGATTATTGGCACAGGAGCAACGGCGGTTCAGATTGTCCCTCAACTTGCACGATGGTGCGAGCAGCTGTATGTGGTGCAGCGGACGCCGGCCTCGGTTGACGTTCGAGACCAGCGAGAGACCGACGAAGAATGGTTCTGTCAAGAGGTCGCGCGGTCAAAAGGATGGCAACGAGAGCGAATGCGCAATTTCCACCAACACTTCACTCTTGGGGAGCGTCCGAAACTCAACCTGGTAAATGATGGCTGGAGCAGAGCTCCTGGTTTAGTCGGCATAACAGGGTACACAGAGGGACCCAAATCACCAGAAGAAATTCCAGCATATATGGCAAGACTTGTTGAGATTGACGCGCAGCGTCAATCCCGCATTCATTCCCGCGTGGATGAGGAGGTGGAAGATCCCATCACCGCGGAAAAGCTCAAGCCCTGGTATCCTGTGTGGTGCAAGCGTCCTACTTTCCACGACGACTACCTCAAGGCCTTCAACCAAGACAACGTGACTCTCGTTGATACCGACGGTAAAGGTATTGACCGCATGACGACTAACGCTGTGGTTATCGGCGACAAAACCTACCAGGCAGATTTAGTCATATTCGCGACAGGATTCCTTGCACCACCCGCTGGCACGCCAGCCGAGAAAACAAAAATGTCAATCATAGGCTTGAATGGAGTCTCCATGAGCGATGAGTGGTCTCGTCACGGTGCTACAACCTTGCACGGTGTCATCGATGCTAAATTCCCTAATCTATTCCTCTCGGGGCCTGTGCAAGGGTCTCTAAGTGGAAACTTCCGCTTCAGCCTTGACGAGTATGCGAAGCATATATCGTACATACTGATTGAAGCTAAGCGCAGAGCCAATGGTGCCAAGTTCTCTGTGGCACCATCCGTGGAAGCAGCGGAGGATTGGGGAATGCAGGTCATGATGCACTCCCCACCAATGGGTGTCGCAATTGGATGTACGCCAGGATACTTCAATTTAGAAGGCGACCTTGATCGCAAGTCACCAGAGAAACTTATGGTCTCGGCTCGGTCAGGCCTGTGGGGCTCGGGGATTGAGCATTGGCTTGGAGTAATTGAGGATTGGCGAGCCGATGGTGACATGAAGGGTATTCTGGTGCGTTGAGAAAAGGTCTAGGATGCACGGGGTGGACATTGGCTTGGAGCTGATAATATCGGCGGAGGTGACTGCTGAACGAGGTTCAATTGAGTCAGTGCACGAGAAGTATGCCACGAACCAAGAAAGCCAGAGATTGCTGATGAGTAAGGCCCAGGGATGTCTTGTGTAACACAGGAAGTTCATAATCATTTCAGAGAAGTATGTATGGGGAATCAAGGTATCTATGGATGTAACAGATGAGAGGTATCGTAAACACCTCATTATGCAGACTGGCGAAGAAACGGAGAAACACCAGAAAGTGAAAGGTTACCAAAGGCTATGCAGAGTAATTAGAGACGGAGAATAAGAACAAGATGGATCGAGCAGTGTTCAGGCAGCCTGTGGTTGGGCCTGGGGTTGAGCCGTAGGCTGGGCCTCTGAGACTGAGGCTGATGCCTCTTGATCAGCCCCAGCCTCAGTAGCCTTGGGCTTAGGAGCAGAAGTGCGACGAATGGGACCTCCACCATGAACGGCAGGAGAGGGAGTCTTTGTCCGAGTCGCACCACCCCCAGCAGCCCGCGCGGACTCAGATGTCATCGCGCTTTTGACAGCCTCGGATTTGGAATCTGACTTTGAATCAACCTTAGAATCGGCCTGAGCTGGCACATTCTCATCGGGTGGGCTCAACCACTTGTCTTGCAGTCCCAGGATCACATCGACAGCGGCCGCCCGGGGCAGTAGATCTTCAAATAACAAGAAACGGCAGATATCGAGGTATGATTTGGCTACCTTCGCCTTGTTGAATTCCTTGACCTTGCCTGGGATCAGCATATTGAGCAGGTACTTGGTGTTGCCGAGTCGGTTCTCGGAGTCTAGACAAAAGACCATGTAGTCGTAAACGACGTCCCTCCAAGGCGCCGCACCACCATCAGCCTCTGAGCGGAAGACGGACGAGTTTGCCTCGGCCGAGGTGGCGATCATCGCCCCATCAACCCCGTATTCGGACATCAATGCAAGTCCCTGGTCACGCGATGTCACATCTCCGTTCATGAGACACGCAACACCGGCCTCGTGGCAAATGCGAGCTACCATAGACAGCTGGTCGCGGATTGCGCGCTCACGAGGACGCATCGGAGTCGTGCGGCAGTGAACGGTCAGCCCTGTGATACCTGTTTTGACAAGGCGGGTGACGAGAGCTTCAGTCTCTTCGGGCTGGGCGAGGATGCGGATTTTCACTGAAATACCGATCTGGAAGGGTTCACCCACTTCCTTGACGAGCGACTCGAGGATAGAAACCAGCAGGTCCGGTGTGCGGAGAAGAGCAGCGCCCATTCCACCAGACGTGGAGAAGGGCTTGGGGCAGCCGGAGTTTACATCAATCCCATCAACGTCTGCTGCCACCATCCGCGCAGCTTGCACTGCCAGTTCAGGGTTTGCAGTTCCGATCTGATAGATGAGCTTGCCTTTCTCTCGCGCGGGGTCGATGCGGTAAATGGTTGACTCTTTGTCTGCGACGTTGGGACGGCCGCCGTTGGATGGGAGGCGGGTAAATTCGATCAAGCCAGTGCGAGGGTTGACTTTACGGGTTGCACCGATGATTGCGCGGTCGATTGTTTCGGGGCCCCAGACAAGGTCGGCGCCGTATTTCAGGGCCAGCAGGCGCGAGGGCAACTCGCCGCTGCGAACCATTGGGGCTAGAACGACTTTGTTGCGGTAGTCGACACCTTTGGCAGGAATTGGCACGTGCGGCACCGCTTGCGCAGAGGCTGTTGCAGCAGCGATGGAGGTCGTCATTTTGCGGAGAGCTTTCAACATAACACGCCCAGAAGGTGGGGAGAGATGAGGGTCAAACACTATATTTTTTTGGGAAGTTCGGAGTCCCCCGATAGGAATCTCAGCGGTCACGTGGTGATAGTGGCCATAAAACTGAGGTCCTGTATCGTGTGTATTGTCATCTGATTTCTTGTAATTTTGGGTTGTCGCAGAGCTGGTCATTTTCCGGGGTGCAGGTCCAATGAACGGGCGATAATCCCTGCCAAGAATCACGACATCGTGGTACAGCGGCGAACACGACGACCATCCATTTCAACCTGTGGAACAAATGGGTCTCGCAGGGCAACTCGCAGGACAACTCACAGGGCAACCATGTATTTGCAGTCGAACAGAGCAAGGTACCCGTGGACTGGATTTTCAGATACAATGGATTTGTATGGAGATTCTGCCAATTCTGCCAGTTCTGCCGGTGCTGCAGTGCTCGGTTAGGTGCAGCATATGTACTCCGTACATGTCAAAATATGGAGTACAGAGTACATTGCACATAGTCTATTGTAGTTGATCAATTCTCCAGAGTAGAACATACAGAATCAATGCATATTGGGGTGTCTCGGTCGGGATGTTAATCGGAAGGTGATCAGTCGATGCCGACTTTCGGACCCAACGTTGTTTTTTTCCCAGCGAAATTTACCACAGCAACAACACACAGGGGTCAACGTCAATTGCTCTCTCTACTGCCTCGTACGCCTGTCAGAGGTACGTTTTACATATATAGGATACTTTAAATCCTTCATCAAACTTACAAGATTTGCAATTCAGCCAATGACTCGTCCTCCCTTAGCCCGACTGGGAAGTGCGACCTCCACCGCCTCCCGTCGTGTTTGGCGCACATCAGCAGCGCTGGCTCCCCCCACTTCTGCTGCCCCTCCCTCTTCCTTTCCTTATAATTCTCCCTTATCCCGCGCGGCCCAAGTTTCTAGACACTTTTCGTCAACTCCGCCCACCATGTCTTACACCGTCCGCAAGATCGGCTCTCCCTACACCCTCGAGCACCGTGTGTTCGTCGAGAAGGATGGCGTCCCCGTCTCTCCCTTCCACGACATTCCCCTCTATGCCAACAAGGAGGAGACCATCCTGAACATGGTTGTTGAGATCCCCCGCTGGACCAACGCCAAGCAGGAGGTATGATCGCCACCTTCAATCCTCTAAACTCCGCCATATACTGATCCCAGAAATAGATCTCCAAGGATGATTTCCTCAACCCCATCAAGCAGGACACCAAGAAGGGCAAGCTCCGCTTCGTCCGCAACTGCTTCCCCCACAAGGGTTACCTTTGGAACTACGGTGCCTTCCCCCGCGTAAGTGGTGAAAATCCCAAGCCAATTCCAATGGCGGGGCAAATCAATACTAACGGCGCCTCGTACAGACCTGGGAGGACCCCAACTCCGTCCACCCCGAGACCAAGGCCAAGGGTGACAACGACCCTCTCGATGTTTGCGAGATCGGTGAGCTTGTCGGCTACCCCGGTCAGGTCAAGCAGGTCAAGGTCCTCGGTGTCATGGCTCTGATTGACGAGGAGGAGACCGACTGGAAGATCATCGTCATCGACGTTAACGACCCTCTCGCCCCTAAGCTCAACGACATCGAGGATGTTGAGCGTCACCTCCCCGGCCTTCTGCGCGCCACCAACGAGTGGTTCCGCATCTACAAGATCCCCGACGGAAAGCCCGAGAACCAGTTCGCCTTCTCCGGCGAGTGCAAGAACCGCAAGTACGCTGAGGATGTCATCCGCGAGTGCTCCGATGCCTGGGAGAAGCTCATCTCCGGCAAGACCGCCCCCGGCGACATCAGCCTGTAAGTTTCCTCATTCAGCTTTAGTCTCAATGACCCAGAACTAACTTGTTACCAGTGCCAACTCCTCCCTCGAGGGCACTGCCACCCGTGCTAGCGCCAGCGACCTCGCTGCCATTCCCCGCAACGAGGAGCTCGCCCCCGCTCCCATTGACGGCAGCATTGACAAGTGGTTCTTCATCTCCGGTGCCGCCGTGTAAACCTATTGTTTCAATCTAAAATAATTACCACCAATGGTACAGTCTGTACGCAGGCAAAAAGTTGGAGACAGTTACTCGAACATTGCGAACACATCAGCTTTCATTATACTCCGTATGCGTATCAATAATTTGTTCTTGGCCATGCGAGGTCAGAAGCAGCTCGGATTGCAAAGGGTCCCGAAACCAACGTTAGGAGCGACAGACACAGGCCCTACGACATATGTAAAATGAAAAACCAATCACCGGTCAAGAATATTTTAAACATTCATATGCCCAACAGCGCCAAAATCGTCAGATACAATGATAGATAATATAATACACGAATGCACAACTTGGAAAACACAGCTAGTTCTTCAGACTAGCCTCCCGCTGCAAAGCTCTACCCACACGAGAGACCTCCTCAATAACATCACCGATCTTCAGCCCACGCTTGCCAACGTCCAGCGTGAGTTCCTTGCCGCCCTTGAATCCAATCGTCATGGTCGGCGACTCGGTCGAAGCACGAGGCAATTGCTTTACCTGGATGTCGATATGGGTTGGGCTACTGGTAGGAATGGTTTCAGGGGTCCGGAGCATGCCGAGGAACAAGCGACAGGGCCTTGCGGCGCGCGAGAAGGGGTTGTAGGCCGTTCGGAAAGTGGCTATTGTGGAGATGGGGATGGTCATGGTTGCGGTGTGTTTTGGCGATTTCCCGAATTGAATAAGTGTAGACTTGAAAGCGTGTCAGTCAATGGATGGTTCACTGGGAGCGAGTATATCGAGTCTAGTTTTGTTGCGTACCTCAGTAGTTGCGGTTTGCGGGAAGTTTTTTAAAGGTGGTGATTCCGGGTGCGGATCCTTATTGCGATGGCGGAGAAGGATCGGAGTATAAGGTGTGGAAATGAGAGACGGGTTTTGAGCCGAGTGGATATGCGATGAGTCTGACAGAGTATGGCGCACGGTCAATTCAAAGTCCTATCCAAACTACACCCTCCGATGCGAGTTGCGGTTGAGGGAGATGGGGCATGTTTGTCTCGGATGCAAACATCGATTGGCCGAATGACGCTCGTCAACATGGCAACTTAGCAGGACAAGTTCATCTTTGTGACAGGTTGCGTCTATTCTCGAACTTACACACCCGCGATATCCTAATTCAATCTGAAATAACTGGCTATAACTATCCACTGGCTTTAAAGTGTGTGGCGCCGAACCAACGGCACTTCTTGCAACATGTCCCCCACGGCAGCACTCCAAGGCCGCTTGAGAGAGCTCTCGGCCGCCCAAGGCGACATCCAGCCTCTGGTTACCCGACTGCACGACTTTACTACCTCGATCGGACAAGGCGATGAAGCACGCTTAGAGCTTGGTGCCGAGATACACTCCAGACTGAAAGATGCGGAGCAGGAATTGGAGCTATTGCGCGTGGAAGTTGAGGCTCTGGATATTGGCACAGATACCAAGAAGAGACAATCTGCGGCACATGGGGAAAAGGAGGCAGAGAGAGAGCGAATCGTTGCCATGGCGGGGCGATTGGCTGAGGATCTGAAGCGGTTAGTTACTATGTCCAAGCGGCCAGAGGAAGCTGCGATCTGCGCACTCTCGGAGTGATTTACTGATTGTGTATCCCAGAACACGAAGTGATTTCCGAAATGCCCAGTTGCAAGCAAAACGCAATGCTGAACTCGCGAAGCGCAAGGAGAAAGACCTTTTGCTGTCTAGATCTAGTGGCTCGGAGCAAAGGAAGCCCACTGAAAAGCTTACACATGATGATCTTGTTCTGAATGCCTCCAGTGATGTCACATCGGCATTGCGCAGAACCCATCAACTTATGCAATCGGAGCTCTCTCGCAGCCAGTTTGCTCAAGAGACCCTTGGTACGTTTTGTTCATTGGTCTTTTGCTTTCTGTGATACTCATTATACAATCACAGATCAATCTACGGCCGCAATCTCATCACTCTCTGAGTCCTATAGTGGTCTCGACACACTTCTCTCATCATCGAAGAGTCTTGCTAATTCCCTTCTCCGCTCTCAAAAGTCCGATACATGGTACCTTGAGACCGCATTCTACATTTTGATCGGGACTATCAGCTGGCTTCTTTTCCGGCGTGTTTTCTACGGGCCTCTTTGGTGGTTAGTATGGCAGCCCTTGAAGCTAGTCGCTCGAGTCGTGTTTGCGACGCTGGGTACTGTGGGTCTATCCAGCACCGCCGTTCAATCTGCTTCGGAGTCATTATCCAGTGGCATTACCTCTACTATTCACGAGACTGCCACCGCGGTTGTCACTGGGACCACGACCTCCGGAAGCACTGCATGGGAACATGAACCCTCGGCGCCGATTGACAGTGACCGCGTGATTGATAAGATTGGAAAAATGGTCGAGGAAGACAACCAAGGGGCACATGATATCGACGATGTCACTCCCGAAGAAAGGGCCAGACAAGAAGAACTTCCTCGCAACCCAAAGAAGCGGATGTTTGAGGTCGAGGTGGAAGAACAAGTGCACGATGAGTTATAGAATATTATGCATGCAATGATGATACCTCACGCAATTATGACCAGTGCCATTTGGCTGCCCCGTATAGAGTACTTCGGCGCAAAATCCCCCAAAATGTAGAGGTCAACAGTAACAAAATCACTCAATGTAGAAAGACTGAGTCTGATTGGCCAATTTGCTTAAGTGCTGCGCGTGTCACGTGGAGACGCGTCTCAGTGCGGAGGGCGTCAGAGCGAGATCTTCACCGCATTGCAAACTGGCTCCGAGATAACACTCACTCTTTTCAATCAGAGCTTTCTCACGACCATGGCTGCATCTTTCTTTAATAATAAAGCCCGCGCCGCAGCGGTTGCAGCAGCCGGCAGCTCCAAGTCCAAGGCAGGCGACAGCAAAGAAGACTCGACTCGACTCCAGCCATGGGTTGAGAAATAGTACGTCAATGCGCCATCAAAGTCCAATGGATACCTTGCTAACGTCCCCAGTCGCCCCAAGTCTTTGGACGATGTTGCCGCGCAAGAACACACCACCAAAGTGCTGCAGCGCACCCTTCAAGCTTCAAATGTGAACCACGCAACCCCGAGCGAGTAAAACAACGAACTAACCTACCTCCAGCTTCCCCATATGCTGTTTTATGGACCTCCTGGAACAGGAAAAACATCTACTATTCTTGCCCTCGCCAAATCCCTCTTCGGACCCGCCCTCTACCGCTCCCGCATCCTAGAACTGAACGCCTCCGACGAGCGTGGTATCGGCATTGTTCGTGATAAAGTGAAGAACTTTGCCCGCGCCCAGCTCTCGCAGCCCACAGGTCTGGATGCTGCATACCGTGCGCAGTACCCATGCCCGCCATTCAAGATTATCATCCTCGACGAGGCAGACAGTATGACACAAGACGCGCAGTCCGCCCTGCGCCGCACAATGGAGACATACAGTCGAATTACGCGTTTCTGCCTTGTCTGCAACTATGTCACACGCATTATTGAACCGCTTGCCAGTCGATGCAGCAAGTTCCGCTTCAAGATGCTGGATAACAGCGCTGCAGGCTCGCGCATTGCGAACATTGCCGAGCAGGAGGGCCTGGAACTTGAAGACGGTGTTGTTGATACCCTGATCCGTTGTGGTGAGGGTGACCTGCGTCGTGCTATTACGTACTTGCAGAGTGCGGCGCGTCTCGTCGGTGCTTCGAACGGGCTAGCTAAGGATGCTGATGACGATGCTGAAATGACCGATGCAGGCAGTAGCCGTGTTATTACCATTCGGAGCATCGAAGAGATCGCTGGTGTCGTGCCAGAAAGTATTGTCGAATCGCTCGTGCAGGCTATGCAGCCTGCCAGTGGTGGATCCGCATATGAAGCTGTCTCGAAGGTGATTACGGATATTGTGGCGGATGGCTGGAGTGCCACACAAATTCTTGGTCAGGTTTGTACTCCCTACCATTGCTTCGGTGCCAAAATTCTGACATTATCCAGCTATACACACGCGTTGTCTTCAGCGAGGCTATACCCGATATCCAGAAAAACAAAATTGTGATGCTCTTCTCGGAGATGGACAAGCGGTTGGTTGATGGGTCTGACGAGCATCTCTCCATGCTGGACTTGGCCCTGCGAGTCGCTGGCATTCTACAGGGCAATTAGAACCTACCACAGATATCGGCAGAAGTCTAGGACCTCGTTTCCTACACTATCCAAATCTATGTCGAATGAATAGATGGCGTTGAGGGTTGGGATGGCCTATGAATTCGAGGCGTTGGAAGCATTTTACAGCATGTAGCTTTGTCAAAATGGAATGATTATGATACCCTTCCATTGCTTTGACTTATATTCTCTTCTCAAAGACCACTCAATTTCGGCTCCTCTGCAACAAAACTCTGATCGAACACATTGCAGGCATGACAACTGGGAGAGCAGATGCTCAAGCTGCTCCGTATGCCTAGTATCCATCATCATTCTTGTCACCATCATTGTACTTGTCACCATCATCATACTTGTCACCATCATCATAATCATCATAATAATCATCACAGACGATGAACGCATCCTGCAAATTCACCACCGCTCCACCTTTCAACGAAACCCAGGTCTGCCTAGCACTGAGCTTGGCGTTGAGATAGTATTCTCCAAAGATCTCGCAGAAGCTGTCTTGCTCAAACCTGGTGAGTTGGGCGCTTGTCGCCCAGACAGCGCCATCCTTTGCAACAGCTGTCTTTCCCCAGAGGGCACTGATCGGCCGCTTTTTGCCATCCGTCGGGACTTGCACGTTTGCGTTGGCACCCGACTGGTCGTTCGCAAGTTGAACAGTCACTGCGTCATAATAATCCTTCTCGGCCTCGGCCAAAGTGACCGTGGCGAGGCAGGCGAGAACGAAGGGAGTCAGGGCGTTGAGCTTCATCTTAAGCTTGCTGAGTAGCGAGTGCAGGTAATGAGAATGCTTCTGATAGTGTTGAGGAAGTAGATGTTTCTCTTGTCGAACCCATACTCCTCGTGAGAATAGAGGGTCTTTATATGGTTCTCGGGCGGTTGAAAGCCACCCGTCCAGATCTCACGGCAGCCAGTCTACCTGGGAGAACCATCGAATCCAGGGATTGGCATAGTGGTTCAATTGGAACCAAACTCTCATTGCAGCCTTAGATCACTAGGGCGACCCAGGTCTGGATTTACATATGCTCTGCATTTGGCCTTTCCGAGAGAATGGAATTGTCTGGTGATGAGCAACACGAGCCCGGGGTATCCTTGGCCAATTCAAAATAGGCCTTCAGAACACCCGAATGGTCAGATACCCGGTTCCAGAAGTTGATTTGTATTCTCGTTATACGAGATGCAGTCATGACTTGAACCCTGCGGTTTGCCACCGAACCATGGGGTATCAACGGGCCGGGGATGCCGCTCATACAACGGAATCTTATTCAGTTGACCTCTAAATATTCACTGAATCAATAAATACTAACTCAGCAGGATAGATGTATGATTTGCATTGACCGAATAATCATGATCAACACCTAAGGATGATGTGTTCAAAAAGCACTTGCGGATGAGCCATCCATTTTGAACCCTCAAGGTGTTAGGCTGGGGCTGGTCACCACGGAATTCTGAAGGAATCCGAGGCTTGGCAATCTGGTCCCCAGAGACGAAGGTCTTCTAGGCTCATTTGATGACGATTGTTCCTCTCCAGGCGGACACCGAATACGACCTTGATTCCGTGTCACGGTTTTCAGGAGTTCAATGAAAATCCCAATAATCACATTGGGCCGTGTAACCGCATCCTAGAGACTTCCTTCTATGCATTATGAACATTATGTAGTAGCAGATCTCGCCTACCTCTTTCACGTAATAGTGTGGCGCTGTTTCCCTAATACACAAGGTGTAGCCCTGTACCTAACAAATAAATGCCAGATCATCGAAGACGACCGGATACATCTATGCATCTCCAAAAGTGGAATGCGAAACCTTGTCTCAAACTCCTGAATCATACTGATTGACATCATCAGCATTAACATAGGCGTCCCAATTGGAGCAAGTCGACTTCAACGATGTCATGTTATATGGGATCTCGGATTCTCTTTCCAGTATCTGAACTGCAAAGCCCTCAGACTGTGAATACTATTAGCTGCGGTTCTATCTTAGAAACCAGCGAGTTAATGGAAAACTTACAGTATGCCATGCAATATGACAGTGAGCGAGCCAAACCTATATACTGGCGTTAGCAATGAACGTAAAGTGGCCGAAAGCTCACACAGCTGTCACTGGGATGAGAGCACTTACGCCCGGGTTGTTAGTCTTCAGAGCAAGTACGATATAGCCACTGGCAGGAAGCATGACGACGTCTCGACGGGGAGCATTCACCAGAGTCAGACTGTCAACCATACTGCTATCAAAGTTACCGTAGCCAGATTGAAGGAGCCAGAAATCGTGACCATGAATGTGCATCGGGTGATCTTGGGCGAATGGCGAATGAATGACAAGATAAGCCCACTTATCAGCTCCTGGAAGAGTAATGACTCTCTGTCGGGAAAGCCAGGTATCGTTCCCCTGAGCCACTTGTAGCAAGGATGGGTATTCCCATTGCGTGTGGAACGAGGTTCGGTTCATCAGCCAAAGCAAGGCGTTGTCGGTTACCTGGACCTCCACATTCTCTCCTGTCTTATAGTCATATGTACTGGCCGCATCGAGCTTCAGATATGGGATGAGATCGGAGGGATCCTCGTCCGCACAGGAGTCAGTATAGCTATACGCAGATGTAGTCGGATCGGCAGTGGAGGAACTGTCATATCGAATGATGCCCTTGACTTTGTCGGTCGCGTCTGACTCGCTGCAGGATAATTGTGGGATTGCTCGCATCCAGAAGTTTCCTTCTTGTAGCTGCTTTCCGGTCACAATTATATCATATCGTTGACCCATTCCGATGCTGAGCTGGGTGGCGTTGAAGGGGTGGATGGGAACGAAATCGTTTGCGATCACTTCCATTGTGTGGTTGTCGATCATGAATCGGAAATGTTGATCGGCACCGGCATTTACCACGCGCATGCGGTATCGTTTGCCGGCTTCAAAAACGGTTTGGAAACGAGAACCCGAGTCGTTCCAGGTGTTTGTTCCATTAATGAGGCCATTGGGGGCAGTTGGTGGGCCTCCTGTAGCAGCTTGCAGGACCAATCGATCAGCCGTGGTCTATGTTGTAAGCATCAGTATTTAACCTTTCAAAAATATGAGTGTTATTGCCCTACATGATACCAGTCATTCAAAAAGACATGGCCAAGGTCGACGTCGTAGTTCGCGGTTGCGGGTCCATTAATTAAGATCCTATGCAATGAGAACTGTCAGTGGAAAAGCAGCATGCAACCAATCACCCGCCAATTCTCAAAGACTCACCCTCCGAAGACACCATCCCAAGCTTGGACATAGAAATGAGAATGGTACCATCCGGTCCCATACTCTGTGGCACGCCATTTGTATGTAAAGGAGTCACCAGGGGCTATGGGACACTGGGTAATACTGGGAACACCGTCCATATGGCTTGTCCAGTTCTGTCGAATGCCGTGGAAATGGATGCCTGTACCGTTGTTCTGGAGAGAGTTCGTGACATGCACCACTAGAGTCAAGATATTAGCGCTGGTTGATGTGCTTAGATGGATGACTGCTTTTACTAACCCACGTTGTCTCCCCAATCCGCAATGATAGTAGGTCCCGGAAAGGATCCATTGATGAGTTGAACGGGCATTTCAACTCCATCTGGGGCAGCTGTTCCGTTCTCGACATTGAACCAATATTCACGTGTCACTCCAGTGTTAGGGACATTTTCGTAGTAGTCGGTTGTGATATCAAAACCTTTGCCCCAGCATTTCCGGTTGTTGGGGCTGTTGACACATGAAGTGGCCCGCGAACGCTTGGAAGGGACAGAGACCCCGAGGGCAGAGCTCAGTGTAAGGAGTGACGAGATCAAGCAAAAAGCAAAACGCATGTTGAGCTGGGCCGCCGATATGGTGACCAGGTGCAAAAATAAAAGTTACAAAGAAATAAAAGGAAAAGAATAAGTGACTTAAGGAATTTAAGAAATAAGATGAAGGGCCGTGGTCTGTTAAATCCTGCTTGAGCTCAGCTCGACGGAGACTAGATCTTTGCTCCCTTGAAGGTACTCGATGCCACTACAGATTAGGTAGTCCAAGCACAGTCTCCACTTGAGGAATTTTGCCTACTCGTAAAAGGCAACTCGAAGTGATCCATGGGCTATTCAGAAAATCCTGAATCCACAACTTCAATTCGGACCCATCATACCAGTTGCAGGATTTCCAGAACAAGAATCCGGGTACGATTTACATTTTCCGATAAGAGGAAATCGGCCGATGGTCTCTTCCAATATCAAACATCGTGTTCGTAATTGAGAACTCTAGTTGATGAGAAATTTCATGTTGCTACAAACTGGAATTCCCAAATGACGCTGCTGCATAGCATACTAGCGCAGAACTGAAAAGGAAAATGATCTGTCTCTCATCTTTTTCAACCGCGTTTACTCGTATTCAGAGCAGGACTTCCTCCGCCGATCTAACTTTGATTAAAATACAGCAATAGAAGCAATCTTTCGAGATGATACAAGTAGGCAAAAATAGCAGTAAACTTCCAAACTAGAAGCTAATCGCGTGCTACGAGTAGTGAGCACATACCCACGGACCATTGCGCAAATCTAGAACTAGCAATTCAGTAGCGGGCCACTTTATTGCCTGTCAAGTAGTAAGGCAGACTCTATTTCAGCCTTGTTCAGCGGTAAACCAATCAATAGAAGATAATGGATGAAAAATCTGCGAGATACCGCCATGGCTGACGAAAGAATAGTACGACAGCGTCCAAAAAGGGACAAAATGTGTGAACTTGAAGAACCAAGCCTTAACAAGTGGAGTGGATCATGAGGTTGTGGCCCAATCATGAGGCGTAGTGTTATATCCTTTGCCGCCCTACAATCATCTCTACCATGTCGACAGGATGATCGGCGAGGAATACGAGTACATACTCGTACATGAGCTAATGAGCTAAATAGAGCACAAAGTTTATTTTAGCGTGCAAAGTGGGACACGGAAGGGCCGAGTTGAAAGGCATCGATGATCCACTGCAGTTCAAGATTTGCTATCAATTTGGCATGGTTGTCCCAGTATCGTGGCGGGTCACATTTTCTAGCGCACTGAGACTCGGAAACGGTACCTGATCATGTTAATGAAGATTCCCCCTGTTCAGATCAAGTTATGAAGTTTCATCCTCTTCAAGTGATTTATTTGACCGGACTTATCACTGACCGTTGAAAGACACTTTGTGCCCCTGGATAATTGCACCTGAACTTGTTCTCGCTCAATACTCCTGTGTCAACTTCAACAACAACATGCAAATTCTCGCCCTTCTCCTTACATTCCTGCAGCTAGGACATGCTTCTGCATCACTCCATCAGCAAGCAAAACGCGGCGCAGAGACCAACGCTACGATCTACGCATACGGCGCCAACGCCTCATCCTGGCCAATTGCCTACGGCGTCAATGATGGTAAGTCGCATTTTCGTACCCCCCTCAGGCCCCTTCAGGGAATCATCTAACCGCCCTTTTTCATAGGCCTCTTGTATATCACTGAAGACCCAACCGCCAATGATGGCATCGTTCCCATTGAGTGGAATTTAGCCTCCATCACGGGCGAGTGCTGGATTGCGAACGCAACTTTCGTCAATGGTACCAAAGCTGGATCAATGTATATCAAGCCGGAGCAGAACTACGCCGTTGGCATTCTGCCGCAGACCCGTGTGGCGTATCTGAATGGTACCGTGTCTGGTTTCGCACTTTTCGCGACTGTGAGTTGATCAAGTGAAATTGGACCCCGTGTTCCGCCGCTGATTCCCGTATAGCAACTTGTCTATAACAATAATACCCTGCTGGAGGCACAATTTTGGGCCAAGTCTACCAATACCACTGGTATCTATGGTCTCATGTGGACACTTGACGATAGCTCGCCGAATGGTGACTTTCCGGTTGTTGTCAAGGCATCGGAAGACTCCTGAGTCTCGGCTCAATGGCTTCTCCTGGTTTCATTTGGATGGGAAGGATAATGAGGTGCTCCTCACACCTGTATATGGAAATCAAGCCGAACATGGCGGATGATTCTGCAGCAGATGTGGCGTCTAATAAGGCACACCTCCAGCTGTAGTAGGAATTTTCACTCCATCACCTGGGCACATCAATGGTTGTTTAGCCAATTCGATCGTTGACCCAATGATACCTATTTCTATAGTTTCTATATCCCCTTTCCATGTTCTAGATTCATCGTTTGGCGCCATGCCACCCTCCTGGAAATTTTCCAATCGTAGGACATATGGCCATCACCTGGGCCACAATAGAAGCCTAGAACATTTGTGATATATGGGTTGTACACCAAATTGCCATCACAGAACAGTCGAATGCTACACGATTCAACTGACTATTCTGAGTAAACTAAGATCCTGAAGTCACTATCATATCATATGGATGTCATTATGGCAAACACGACGAAATACCGATATCATACTTACTTAAGTAAGTATGGATAATAGATAGCATCAAAACATGAAAGCTACAAATAACATCGTTTTCAAGTCGTAGCAGTCTTTCAATATTGGCAATCACATTCAATCTGAAGACATTTTCTCTTATTTCCGATTATGCCGTCCCACAAAGGTCAAGGCCAAAAGCATCGCCCACGAGAGCATCGTGGAGGTATCCATCCTTACGGTGTCTGGAAGGCATTTCCCAGAAAATATACCGTCGAACACCGTTCAGAAGATCCCAGTTCCCCTCATTTGTCACTCTACTTCAATGACGGCCAAGGCCAAGATTTCGATGATGACAACGACTTTAGCAGGGACGATGAACACGAAGAGTTCGGCGGCAAGAATCGATATGGCAATAAGAAACATGGAGGGGGCGGGCGACATGGAGGCCGTGGAGGGAATAAAGAGATCCCTGGACTCAGCCGAGCGGCAATTAACATCAAGTCTGGAGCTGGGAAGGAGTCTCGGCTTGTGTACTGGGTGAACAGAAACTTCAACGAGCACCTCATGGTCAACAATCTGAAGGACCTAGAATCGGGCTTCCATTCTCTCGAGAACGAGGAAAAAAGTCCCGCGAGTATGAGACTGGACTTTATCCGGAGCAATCTGTTCAATGTCTACTCGGGCCGGCTCTTACCTCATGACATCGAAGGCCCAAGCAATGATATGATTGATGTACTCGAGCCTGAAGTACAAAAGGCAATCCGCGAGAAGGCCCAAATTTATCTCTTTGGGGAGAAATTCAATGGGGGAGGAGATGGAATCCACAATTGCCACATGAACCAGGGAAATTCTTCGAAATGGCAAAGGGATGATGGTGTGTTCCAGGATGGAGGCCTGTTGATCAATTATCCAAGCTCCGGCCAATGGGTTGGGATCTTCCTCGGTTTCGCATCCCAAGCAGCGCACACCGATGATGAGACTGGACACGCCACAACCTCTGAAACGTGGGCGGACTACCTAGATCCTAAATCGAACCGCAATGATCTCCTCGAGAGCTCCGTGTCAATCGACGAAGCATCAATGGATACAGATCAACCAAATGCTTCCCGTCCCAGAAACACATCAGTCACACTGTCAAACTGGACAGACCACAAGATTCCAATGTCGAATTGGAAGGTCAAGAATTCTGCGGGTGAATCTCACACACTTCCTAAGCAGGCAGAATTAGATGTTACGGCGAGCCGTACCTTTGACCTTGCTGGTTTCGCACTCTCCAAGATTGGGGACACACTGACGTTGTTGAATGACCAGGGGCTGAAGGTGGATGGTGTGAGCTACAATTCCTATCCGAGAGGAGTCCAAGGCCAGTCGGTTGCCTTTGTACATTAGGGCTAATCCTGGGCTTGGGGATGAGTGTACATAGCTCGAGAAAAAGTTCAATACAAATTGCCTGTCCCTTTTCTGCTTTACGTGTGCTTTAACTAGACTTGAATGGGAATTCAGAGTAATATTGAGTGCGTATGTACATAAAAGGCAAGTCTATTCCAGCTAATTGCGCGAGTTTATATGTTTATTCCGAGTCCAGCAGATCAGAAAGCTTATCCAGATAAGCATGAGGTCTGACATCTCCAGACACAAATTCTTCCTTCGAAGAGACACCGGTGAGCACACCGAGGGTACCACCAAGCTTTCCTTCAAGTCCGAATCGAATATCCGTGTTGACACGGTCACCAACCATGCAGGTACGGCTACGGTCAAACTTGAACTTGCCCTCAACAGAGTCCATCATAGCTTGACTGGGCTTACCAAGAGCAACGGGCTCTTGGTTCAGCATCATGATCAGAGGCGCACTCATTGAGCCGGCACCGGGGAAGAGAGTCCCAGAGTTGGGCAGTGTGGAATCAATGTTGGTGGCGAGGAAGACTGCCCCACGCTTGACGTAGTGGTAGGCGAGCGCCATTTTGAGGTAGTTGAAGTGGAAGTCAAGACCGACAAGTACGACACCAACTTCGGGGTCTAGCAGGGATTCATCGCCAGCGGCAATCTTCTTGTAATCCTCTGGGGTAACATCGCGACGGTATGCAGGGTCTGTACCACCAATGTACTGGACGTTCTCAGACTGAAGCTCTTGCTCGATGCCTGTCTCACCAATCACATAGACTTTGCGCTTGTTCTCGGGGAGTTGCAGGATGCGGGAAATGTAGATGGAGGCACTGTAGGACGAGGAGAATATTTCTTCCTGTTTGGCTGTCAGCGACTTGGTCCTGCAGTCCATGCTCGGACTCCGTTTCAACTGACCACTGTGCTGGGAATACCCAAACCCTCTAGCTTCTTGCGGTAGTCTGCGCGGGACTTGGTGCTGTTGTTCGTCACGAAAACCACTTGCTTTCCTATTCCGACTGTCAATTGTTGTCGGACGCTAGTTTCGCTCGCTAGGACACACCATTTTTGCGCAACAATTCCAATGTCTCAACGGTACCGGGGAAAAGGTGATCACCGGACCAGAGTACTCCTAAACGACCATTGTCTCAGCTGTTGTTGCGATGCAGTTGGTGACGGGGATTGCGGAGGGAAAGCCGAGATCGAGGCAAGGTGGGCAACAAACCATCGCAGTCGAAAAGGAAGACCTAAGGAGAGGTTAGCGATTGCTATAAGTCCAAAGTCGCAGTGTTTGCGTACATCAAACTTATCCAAGAACTCCCGGAGAGCGGGCTTATCGCCGCTCAAGTAGCGGGGTGTGATTGGCGATTCTTGCGCCATGATTGAGCAACAACGCGCAGTTTATGTGACAATGTACAAAAGGGAAGAGCACGGAGTTAACGGAAGGCAGAGAGTGAGTCAAGAAGCAATCTGAGTATGAGATTCCCCGAAGCGACCCTCCGGTGAATCGCGGGGCCGTTTCTTGGCATTGACACTAATCGGAGAGTACGGAGTATATTCACACTTTCTACGCAATGTGCTCGACTTGCACTTTATCGTCCCCATTCTCAGAGCTTGCACCCTTTGTGATTTGGTGTTGCCCAATCTCCGCCAGACTGACTCCTTGCTCGCGCAGTCTCTCCAAATGCAGGGCAGCTTCAGCTTCTTCGTCTCGCTCTTCCTGGGACATCTCAGGTCCCCAAAAGAGGAAGAATAAAACAAAAGCCCAGACTGCGCCCATAAAAATTGCAATTACTTTGCCATAGTCGAAGCGCGCTTTGCCATTCGGCCCGGGCGCGAGTGGGAATCGCTCGCCGATGATAGACTGGATCGTGGCCGAGGCAGAAGATCCAAGATTTCCAAGCTGGTAGGTCAGTCCAACCATGAGAGATCGGAGGGCGTTTGGTGAAAGCTCAAGGAGATGAATCGGCATGGGACCCCAAACACCGCCGACAAAGAACTGTTCAAAGAAGGCGCATGCTGCAAGGGACATGTTCCGCGGCAGGATATATGCCGGGATGATGGCGCCTCCGAAAATACAGGAGATAAGCATGGTCAGACGCCGGCCGAAGAATGTACTGATGTACCCGATCGTACAGCCGCCTATCAAAGCACCGATCTGACCCACGACGGTAACGACGGTGGTCTGGGTTGCGTCCATTCCGACTTGATCTTTTAGGAATGTGGGGTAGAAATCCTGACTGCCATGAGAACAGGAGTTGAATCCCGTCATGAGAACAACAAGGTAAATGAAGAGCACCCAGTTCTCGCGAAGAGCGCGTCCAGCATCGCGAAGAAATGTCCTTAGGCCCATCGCGCGAGCGCTGTCACCACTCGCTACATTGGCGCGTGCTTCGCGCTCGGCCTTCATCACTTGGAAATGATTAGTCTCTGGCAGGTACCAGCGAAAGATAATGATCAGCAATGGAGGTCCTGCGCCGAACCAGAAAAGACTTCTCCATCCATGGGTGGTCGTTGGGACCAGAGCTCGGTAGAAGGCTGCGGCCAAGAGATATCCCGTTGCATATCCCATTTCGAACAGACCAGAAAGCAGTCCACGGGCTTCATACGGAAGATCCTCGAGGGCAGTAGCGGCTGCTGGGCCAAAGAGACCTGAACATTGTCAATGACAAGACCGGAAAATGGCACATTCGCTCCTCACCTCCCATTGCAATTCCATATAGGGCCCGCACACCCAGAAACTGAGGCAGAGTTTGACAGAATCCAGAGCACAGCTCCAGAATAATGAACAAAAATAAGTTGATGATCATTGGCCATTTGCGCCCATACCGGTCTGCTAGGACTCCAAAAATGATCGCTCCAACTGAGCGGAGCATGAGTGTGACGGTCATTCCCTCTCGACATGTCAGCTTCCGGGTTATCACACTGGCAGGAGCACATACCCAAGAGACGTCAGAGTACGACACACCGAATGACTCGGAAATCTCAGTGATCGTCAGGGACACAGTGAAAAAGTCGAATGAATCCCACGTCCACCCCAGGAAGCCCGCTGCAAACATGAGCCATTGGTGCGAAGTGAGCTCACGCAGAATGGCAATTGGGTTTCGCAACTTGTTCTAGTGAATTATTTCCCCTCAGCGACTTGGTTACAAGAATGGGTCGAACATCAACCAGCCTACCTTTGGTGGTTTGAGGCTTGACACGCGTGTGAAGAAGTACCGAGTGATCTGACTGGGTGAATAGAACCATCCAGCTGCCATATGATTCTTCATCGTGAATTAAGTTCAAACTTCATCAATTACTTTGATCTCTGTGGGACGATGGCAAGCTATCTTTATACTTGAGCTACTCCATTACTCGTCGATCGAATGCCTAATGGAGGTATTCGTAACTTCTACTCAGTGCATTGACATGGGAATCATGCAGTTGGCTGTATACCCGGAGCGGACAATTGGCCGCGGTATATACTTTCCATTCTCCAAAGCACATTTCCAGCAAATCAAGATCAAAGAAGCGGCCCTTCCCCGCATTTTAAGAGACGAGCTTCACGCGGACAGGAGCATCAAGGTGAAGCTTGTGCACGGCCACGATATCTACCGAGCCATTCATGGATCTTGCTCAGGGGCATACACTTTCCCCGCCCGCTGCCGCCGTCAGCCAAGACCCGGGATGCGGCTTGATTTCTACAAAGATGGCCAAGCCATGCGGGGGGATGTGGGCCAGCTTCGTATAATGAAAGCTGTGGGTATAAATGCTAAATACTTCTTATATAGAACTGATGGGCAGATTTTTGCACCCCATCAAGCCTGAATCTTCTCGGCGAGTTATGGACCTGGGTATGTTTAAGATGCGGGGAAGAATAAACCTTTCAATTTGATGATCATTTAAAATCATTTAATGCAGGTCATGGTTGAGGGTTTGCATAGTATTGTTCAATTTGTTATGCCAATTATCTTCACACGAAATCCATCTTGTAAAGTTTAAGGTAACTTTAGTAGAACATTCACATCAAGTCCCCATAAGTTCTGCCCTCCGCCTCCATTTGCTCATCCTTCTTAATGTAATCCTTAAACTTGTCCATTTCACTCTCCTTCTTTGGTTCACTCTCATGCTGAGGCTCATGATCATCCTTATCTTCGGTCAGGTGTTCTTTTTCTTCATGGTGGCCCGGGTGTAGGATGCGGTCCACGAAGCCTCCGAAGCTACCCTTGCGGTGTTTTGGCTCTGTGAATGTCATTAGCCCGAGATTGTAAGTCTCAGCTCATGAGCGTACGATCAGACATGCTGGAGTTTGCCGTAATTGGTTATGTAGGAAGGATATAGGTATTGTGTCGATTTTAGCATACAAAATTGTTTGAACATGTCCGGCGGGCGTACTTAAATCAAAGTTAATCACAACTAGACGTCATTTCGAGCCTGTTTAATAGCTGGAAACCAATACATACAATGGCCATTGATTGGGATTGATTCCCCACAATATCAATGAGCTCAAAGTGAGCGTGTCATCGACATTCGACCCATGGTTGTCAAAAGTCTAAAAGCTTATGTTGATCCATGGATGTTTTGATCAATTCATTGATTCACTTCATTGGGCACCACGTAATCTTTGAATGCACTCCATACTGCAGACGGAGTATTTGCTTCAAACTTAGCGCGCTCTCCAAAAACCGCTAGCTTAGTCTCGTCCCGAGGTACGGAGTATTTGCTGCAAGGTTCCTTCAATTCGAAGTTTCGTGATATCCCTGACCAATAACCTTCAATCTTTTTTTTGGATAGTAACAATTCCCTGGCAGTGATCTACGCAGGCCCTACTGAATCTGTTTAAAGATTGACTTTAGGTTTGAATGCCCAAAGTCGGTCATGTTCCGTACAACCTGGCATGTTTCGCCGCGGTGAATTTAAAACACATGAGGTCAGCAAGCCGCTATAATCGCCTAGATTCATGGCCTAATTCAAACATCGAGACCTATAGATAAAAATGACCACCAAGTCCAACAAAGCCCCTAGAATCAATTGCACGGAGATTACCGACGCCCCAAAAGACGGTCTACAGGTAAGCAATTGCGAAGCCACGTAAATATTGGGACCCAAGACCCGAAGGCTATGACGCAACAAGTGGTACCTCCCATGTACGACATTCTGCAAACAGATGCATAAAGATCTAGATCTTCGTAGAATTCCCAGAAGATCCAAGTCGCTATGCACAAATTCGCGCATTGGCCCCACAGGTGCCGCCAAACTGTCGGTGACAACTGTCGCAAATGCGGGGGTCACAACTTTAGAACCTTCGGCTTGATTGTAGCTGCATACCTGTCTCATGTACTCTATCACTTGAGCATTTGGTGTCGGATTCCAGTTTATCTAAGTTCGACACCGCCAGTTTGCAACTCTGCATCGACTTCCGGATGGGATAGGCTATACTTTGGAAAACGCAGGACACGGTTCGTGATTCCGATTGACTATGATGAGGTGCGCTATACGATACCTTGGATTGTAATCGATGGGGCTGTTGTCCTACCTTGATTATGCACACTTTTAGGAGACAGCTCCAGACCCAACATGGTCCATTGACTGGTCTAATAGACGCATGTATAGTGATCAAACGCTGCCGATGTTGCTACTGTGGACTTAAGATTAGACAAGGCAGTCGGGTATCAAATTGAGCTGGAGTGATTGACTGACGACGATCGGCATTGGCATGTCTGTGCTACACATATGTATGTGGGCAAGGAGGCATGCATTTTGGCAGTTATAACATGGTATGATATAGCCAGTGTCTTGCAGATTTTAGATTACGATCGTTCTAAAATTCCAACCTTGGAAAAGGTTTAATTATCGTTTATGCAAAGTAACTGAGAATGACGGGCCTTGTAGAGTAATATTGGATTGGACAATTGACATACTCAGATGGTCAATGATTTGAACTCAGTGAAGCAAAAACCCTCGCATGGAAACGGAGATAGCCACAACTCTATGTACGAAAAGAAAATATGCTTCCCCAACCAAGCCCACAATGACAGATTAAGAAAAAGGGAGTGACGTGGTTTGAAAGATTGATGAACTTGAAAGTCCAGATATGAAGACAAGTGACTGGAGAGAGTGAACAGATACTGTAGAAGTGAAGAAAGCCAGAAAAGCTAGACTAAATCGACGGAGAGGGTATGTTGTGTCATGATAGGTCGTGAAGAATGGTAAAAAAAGTGCTGAATAACAAGAGAAAAAAAAGAGCCAGCGTGTTCATGGCAAGGCAGAAATCGCAATGTAGAAAATGAGGACGACAAACAGGCCCTAAGAGTTTCAAACCCATGGATCAGATCGCACGTAGGTGTGGGGGTTGACGGGTCCGATGAGCTTGATCTGCGACTTTAGCTGCTCTCGCCTTCGATCTTCTTTGGACTCCGCAATCTTTCTTTTGGCTCCCATCAACACCCCGCGGGTATTTTCTTGGAGTTGCTTCAGAGGGGGGGATGAAGAGGCAGACTTGGCAAATGACAGCTCAGGGGCAGAAGATGAAGAAGGCTCGGATGAATTAGGTGATGAACGATACTTCGGGAATTGTACATTCTTCTTGGATTTCTTGGGTTCATCCCAGATCGCTGGGCCATGTTTCTGGTAGGGCGACAGCGGAACCGCTAGCTGTTTTTGGCGCGGGGTGCTTGGGGATGAATCGGAGACCGGAGAGACGGGGAAAGCGGAGAAGGTAGGCGAGATTGGTGTTTGGAGGTGAAACATCTTTTTGGTGTAGTCATACTCTGCATCCGGAGATGTCGCTACAGATACCGCTCGCACGGCTGCATCCGTATCCAAGGCCAGAGTTTGCGGTTGTTGTGGCTCCCAGCCCTTGGGACCGAGGATACTGGAGGCATCGCTCAAATGATGGTCCATTGGCGCCGTCACTGGGCGCGGTGTTTCCCTGGGTTTGGGCTCTGGCGGCCCGTCGCGGGACAATGTGCGGTGGACATAGGTTTTAATGGAGTCGCGCACACCCCCTAGACCACCTCGATCCAGCGAATGCCATCGGTACTTGCCCTTGGCAAACTCCAAGGCGGAACCCTTCTTGCGGGATTTGGGGGCACTCATGTTGGAACTCGTCCCGTTTAATGTCGACGGGGCCAATTCGGGGAAATAGTCCCACTTCTTTTCGCGGAAATAATGGTTGGCGCCTGTCCGCTGAGTCCAATAAGCCGGACGGTCAGGCGGGGAATCTGATAATGACGAGGCAGAGGGTTGTACAATTGATTCGTCGATGACGATATCTATCGCGTCCGTGCACTTGTCGAGTGGAGGCAGTGGAGAACCGGGAAGGGCGAGATGATCGGCCGATGGAGCCTGATCCGTTAGGAAGTCGTCGGAGCCGGACACGAAGATGGGGTAACTGTCCGCTGAGTTGGGTTCACTGGGCACAAGGCTATCGACGGTACTTTCACTGTCGCTGGAGTCACTCCACATCGCCGAAGACTCGGGTTCTTCGGGTCTGGCGGGGAGGGGCTTATTGAGGAAGAGGTCGGGAGTGAATGAGTTGGGCGAGTGAGGTGGTACAACTCGCTCGAGTCCGTCCAGTGACCGTGAAGGACGGACGGGGGGTGCCATCGGACTATATGAGAAAGTCGACAACATGACAAAGGAAGTTAGGAACAGTGACAAAAGAAGAAAGGTAGGTCGAAGACAAAGGGAAGAGGAGGTAATATTATAGAAGCCACGCACGGACATGCAAGGAGGCCTAAGAGGGAAGAATAGAAACCAGAATAATAAGAATAATAAGAATAATACTTAAATGTACAAGTGAAAATAGGAATAGAATAATAACAGTAGAGTTATTGCCAAAGCGACCAGAGCTGTCCCTTGCTCCGCTTAAGCGATTGGCCCCGCTCTGGCTCTGACATGTCTCTGTAACTTTAGAAATGCCATTAAAAAGCCTTGGAAAGATTAAGGAATTCACAATTAACTAAGTTTGGCTGCCTTCTCCATCGTTTGGCGGGTCAATTGATCCGAGGGTTTACGAACGGCACTCAATCGACCGAGGCGTCGAAGCTTGGCGATCATCTCCTCGTCACCAAAGTGGCTGTTGTGCTCGAACTCCGGTTCCTGCGCATATCCCAGCCGTGCCGCGTCGACGAGGATGCGCGCCGTCATACCGAAGATGCGATATACTTCCGTGGCACTTGTATTGGAATTTTGACGAACAAAGAACTGGTGCACTAGTGGCGTTGTCAGTCTCCACTTGCCAAACGAAAGGAAATTCATGTAAAAAAAGAAGAAAAAAAGAAAAAAACAAAGAATCGTGTGACAATCCCATGTGTATGGAGTAGTACTCCACATACAAACATAAACATAAACATAGATATACTCTGTACACAAGTCCAGTACCTGACAATAAAAATAAAAATAGACTTACTCTTCCAGTTCTCATTATGCCACAAACTCCATGATCCCCGATACCATTCATCCTGGCCCAGTCGACTCTTCAAAAACCCTAATAACGGCGCGGTAAATACAGCCGCAACCTCGCGAGCATCCAGGGTGGGAATGAGCGACACTTCCGGATCCGCAGTCAATCCGGTGCGAGGATCATAACCGTGCAGGAGCGCGACGCAGGGACGCACCACCAGCTCCGTTTTGGCAAGATTTGCCGGGAGCTCGCAGAGGTGCTCCACGCGGAAGGGGGGTGGGAGATTCGCGTTCGTATCGGGGAGCCCGATCTCCTCGCTTGCCTCGCGCCGGGCAGTTTGGAAGGCAGTTTCTTCTTCGCTATCTGCTCGGCCTAAAGGTTGGGTTAGAATGTGCCTGAATAGGGTTATTTAATCTGATGTTTTTTTTCGAATACATTGAACACTTCGTATTCATATCGTGTATTCTTTTTCTTTTCTTTTTCCTCTTTTGGTCTTTTTCTGTTTCTGTTTCTTTTCTTTTTTTGCTTTTCATTTCCTTCGACTTGCGCTTGACTCTATTGCCGCTTATGGAATAGGGTTATGTTCTTACCTCCGGGCAAAGCTGCATCTCCTGCATCTGGACAGGGTTAGCTTGTCCCAAGCTCATGGAGCTACTTAGGAGAGACAGGCGTTAAAAAGTAAAATGACTTACACGAACTTAGTGTCTTAGCCCGTATCGTAACAACCACCTTGAGGTCGCCCTTGGCATCCGCATATAGGAGTATGAGGACTGCCGCTCGCCTGCTAAGCGGGACCGAGTCGTACGCTGTTGGTGGGGGGATGTAATTTCGGAGTCTGGTGATTGCTTGCTATGGAAAGGATTAACGGGATGTCCAACCTTGGAACTTGCTCAGCTTCTATAATGAGGCGGTTTTGGGGGCTGAAATCGGGGGTTGGGTTTCAACGCCGCTATTGCACGGCGGGATGGACATCCACGGACACGAGAGACAGGGCATGGGATTAAAACAACGGTGAACGATGTCTCGGTCCTGAGACGAAACCTTGAGCTTGATCATTAAGCTTGGAGGGTTTGGGGTCTCAGAGTCTTCCGGAAAGAAAAGAATGTTCCATATTGTATCACTTCACCGGAGAACCGGGGGGGACATCGTGTAAGACTTGAAACTGAAACCCAAATGGCGTGTTCATGGCCCCCGTTTCCTCAATGAGGAACGATTTTCATCCCCAGAAAAAGCAAGGAAAGCAAGATAAACATGGCAATCTTAAGACAACCCGTGGCTAAGGGGGCAAACAAGGGCATAGGGAGAACCGGTAGGGGAACGGTAGGGATTATCTGCATCCATGGCAAAATGGATACAGATTTTCAGTTTGCGCTGGCAACACGCGGTCTCGTCGGGAAGCTGCAGAAACCAAGTTACACATACCTGGGAGGCGTGATTTAGGGGCGCCATTAGTTCGGAGGTTCGGGGGTCGGGTTTTGGGCTAGTGGTGCTGAGGCTGAACAACTTGGGTTCCGAGATTTGATTTTGTTTCGACGAGATAGTACTGAATTGGCGAGCTGTGCGAAGAAGTTGTCTCCGCATGACTGGACTTGTGGCTCTATATATCCTAATCGTAGCTATATGGACGTCGGGCACCGGGGAGTTCTCAGGTTGTCCCGCATAATCTAGCCGAGGTAAATCGGTGACTAAGGTTGTAGCCAACAAACAGCAGAAATAGGTGCCCAGGTGGTTTTTACGCATTGCTCGAATGGACTTCAGCATAAAGTGGAGTTTTCATTATTTCTTTATTACGAATCATATGTAGTTGGCAACTATCCCACTTCAGGTATTATGTACCAGTTCACAAGTTGATAAGAACAACTGAAGAACAGTCCACAAGTTGGTAAGAACAACTGAAGAACAGTCCACAAGTTGGTAAGAGCAACTAGAAAAGGATGGTGTCATCAGACAGAGCTGGAAACAAAAGCAAATGAAAGTGAAGAGGTGGGGATTGAATGGCCTTATCGACATAGCGGAGAGAATTAACACAGGATGAGAAAGTGAAGGGTAACCTGACAAGCAAAAAAAGCAACCATCTATAGAACACATGTAACCCAGGTGGGAATAATAAAACAAATCGCCAACATATTCATATCAACTTAAGAGCTCTCGCTCTTCTTCGCGTCCTTGGATTCGGGGGTCTTGGCAGCGCGTTCACCTTCTGCGATGGCCTCGCTAGCCTCCTCGGACTGCTTGGACTCGCTTGAGACGAGGTCTTGCTTAGCCTCCTCCTTCTCATCGATATCCTCGATATCCTTGGGCGCGGCAACACCCTTGCCCTCGTTCTCGCTGTTCTGCTCATTCTCCTCCTCGATGAGCTCCTCCTGCTCCTTGATAACCTCAAGACGCTGCTTGTTGGTAGCAGCACCCTCGGCATTGTGCACCTCGAGCTCAATCTCGTGGAACAGCTCCTCGGGGATACTAGAAAGCACAGACTTGAGAGCGTCGATCTGAGAGGCCATCTCAGACTCCTTGCCACCCTGTGTGTAGAGGTAGGCGTTGCTCAGAACAAGCAGAGTCGAGGGTACACCTTGCTTCAAACGGAGCTCAAGCCACATACCGAGATCCTCACGCAAACGTGCTGGGGACACACCGTGCGTGCGGATTCCGCGGGAGGCGCTAGCCATCTGGAGTTCGGGAACGGAGAGGGAGTCAACGCCCTCATAGAAGATCGCACGGTCATCGCGCTTGATCTGGCGCATGCGGTGACGAATGGTGTAGCGGATCATGGCGTCTGTGCCAAAGGTGTTGAGGTTCATGTAACGACAGATGCCGACCAGCTGAGGCCGGGACAGGTTGTCGAGAGTCAGATCATCCTTGAAGATTTTGCAGACCTTGATAACATCCTCGGTGGAGGGCGATTCACCGGTGGTGCGGATCTTGCGGAAGAAGTCCGCGAACTCGTCGTTCTTGACTGTTGCGGCGTTCAAAGGCAAACCAGTCTCACGCAAAGTGTTGCGCAGGAAACCGGAAACTTCTTTACGGGTAGAGCTGAGGTTCAAAGCCTTGGCATCGCGAGCCTTCTGGCCCTCGTAGGTGCTGGGGAGCATGTTGGGGAAGATCTTGAGGGCGACGGGGAGAAGCAATTCGGCAAAGGGAACAATGAGGAACATCGAGAAAGGAACCAGACGTCCCAAATCTTTAGTGGTGCGTTGAAGCTGGAGTAGAAAGCACGTTAGTATACCTGCGGAGGATCTTTTGGCTTGAGTCGTGAATACTAACCTGACGGTTCTCGCGGCGACTGAGCTCATAGCCACCAGCCATCTTCAATGCTAACCGGGAACTGATCTTAACCTCTGTAGCAAGGAGCTTTGTGCCATCCCAGTAGTGCTGCGCCTCTTTCTTGATCTTCTGTCCAAGCGTCAATTTTTTGGCGCTCTTCTTCTCGACGGCTTTCTGTTCGTCCGGGTTGGTCTTCGCGGTGGTTCCAGCAGCCTCGGTCTTCTTGGCTTCTGACTCGGCACCGGTGGACTGAGTCTTGGAAACGGTTTGTTGCGATTGCGCAGTCTGACCCTCGGCAATAGGCTTCTTCGCTTGCTCGGCATTGAACCCGGGAGGTGGGAAATTTTGGGAAGAGTTGGATGTAGACTGTTCGGTTGAGTAACCTCGCTGAGGGATCAGGACGGCAAGCGCTGAGATCTGAGATGGAAGATCACGGCCATTTCGGAGGAGGTTGCGGGCTGCCACGGAGGCCGGACTCAAAGCGCTGGAGCGGTTACGGGCTGCACAAGGGGCAAAGAGTCAGTCGGGTTCACTGTAAGTCTTTTCGGGGGTATCTGATGAATTACCAAGAAGTGCAGACCGGAAAGCAGGAGTTCCGCGGACCAACCCGGTCGATCTCATCGTGGCGGACATTTGGCGAAATGTTGAGGGAAAAAAAGTAGACGGTTGAGGCAACGAGCGAGGAAGTTGTATACACCACAACAATGGTATTAACAATGAAATGGAGTTCTCGCGGGATGAAAAAAGACAATTTCCCGCAATAAATTGATGGTTACAAGAAGTTGGAATGTCCTGGAACCGGTTCCGACGAGACTCTCGGATGTTGTGATGTACGGCCGCAGTCATCTTTCACGTGACTGCCGATTGCCGTATCGGGGTTTGTTCGGGGTTAAACAGACATCCGGGTCTAGAACTGCATGGAAGGTATTTTTAGGCATCGGGCCGATCAGGCTGAGATATTGGGAATCAAATTCAAGTAATTAGATCAATCTAAACATGCTAAACTGCAAGATGGCGAAATCCAAAATTTCGCCCGCAAAACTCATATCCAACGATCTTGACTAAAAGGAGAGATTTCAACGAACTGGGGTATAGAGAGAAAAACATGCATAAAGAAGGGAGTGACACATGCGAGTAATATGCATCCTCGCAAGGGGTATCAACAAATTAGATAAACGAGGGTATATCACTTGATATTCAAGTTCGCTCCCGGAGAGTGGAATTCTTATCCACGCTATTCTCCGGAACGGCAGTTGAAGAGGCATCGGCAGTATCAAGGAGCGGGATTCGGTCAACGCTGCTGCGCTTTTCCCCACTGGCTGCATTAATTGCTTCGCTCAGAGGACTCGGCTCGGCGGCAAGAAGCGGACTAGTTGTCCCTTCGGGGGATTGCTGCCAACGGGCAACATCCGCCTTGAGTTGCTCAAGTTCTTTTTGGAAACGCTTGCCAAAGACATCAATATAATAGGTTGCTCCGTTGTGAATGCTCCAGACAAACAGGGCAGCCATGTAGATTCCACTGCCCCATTTGGACCAGAACCAGATCGGACAGGGAATCATGGTGGATAGAGCGAACCCATATTGAATGAACATGAAGCATGGCTCTTGCAACGACTCTGGGAGGCTGAGCACAAAGCGCCCAATCCAGGCTTTGGAATAAGACTTGCGCAGCCATGTAAAGCTAGTGGGACGACCTGCCGCAATCTGTTCACGACGGCGAACAGTAATCAAGAAGTGATATAGGAGCTGCCACACCAGGTATGGGGCAGTAGACCAAATGATCATAGCACCAAGACCGTAATGCTCAGGGTCTGAGGGTTGACTGAATTTGATGCTGTATACTGCAGGGAATCGCTCCTTGAGTTGCTCAACGGGTGTCAGGTGCACAATGCAATGCAGCGCAACTGGAGGCATGATGTGGATGAAGAGGCTGCATAATAATATTAGTGAGAGCTCATCAGAGACTTGAGTTAGGCGACACATACCTAACAACTTTGTCCATGCTATGGAATACCATCGAGTTACGCCACATGGCAATGGCGGCTGCATTGTTTCCAAACGTTAGGCAGAAGGTGCTGATGAACAGTCGTTTCGAGTTCGGGAACACCCATATACTCAACATGCAAAGCAAGTTGACAAAGTAGCAGAGATCAGCCAAGAAATAGTGGTACCCCTTGGCCTGGTAGGTGAAGTATCGAATGGGCATGAAGTATGCCAGCTGCACACTAAACCAGATGTGGAAGTACTCTGGACAAGCACCGATCAAGTAGCCACTGATGAAGATATTCAAAACACCGGCAATGAAAGAAGCCTTCTCCCGAAGAGTGACAGTCGCTGTCTTGTTCCACTGCTTGCCCAAGCGCTCTACGCCCTGGTTCATCCGTTGACGGTATTTTTCCAGCTTCTCGTCGGCGGTCGGTGCCCGGCGCTTCCACTCGCCCACCACTCGTTCCTTCGCGTTCAAGGATGAAGACTTCAACTTTTCCCGCTGCTTGCGCACCTTGTCCTTCTGCATGGCGATGGTTTGCTGCCACTTCTCCAGGCGCTGAGAGAGCTGGAAATTGTCGAGGAGATCAAATATCGTGAGCTTGTCCAGTGGTGGGAAGGTCTCCCAGTCTTCCTGGTATGAACTGCTGTTGGAGAAGGAGCCGTTGCGCGACAGTCTGCCGGGGGATGCGGGAGGAGAGTAGTAGCCATCGTTGTCGGCGTAGTCATCCGCAGGGAAGGGTGCATCGATCTCATCCAGGCCTGGTGTGGAGGCCACGGACTCGGCTGACATGATTTCGGATCTTCTTCGTGAGCCACTATTCTCAGCCAGGAACTGCTGCTGGAAGAATAATAGCGTTGGACCGTCCCGGGTATTGGGATAAGGTCGGCTAAGGAACCGGTTGAATGTTAGCATTCCCATGATCACAATGAGCTCGATAGTTCCGGTCGCGAGTGTAGAGTATATCGATTCGGATGCTCAGCAAGCATGAGTCCCATTTCGACATGACTGGATTTTAAAGAGCGGCGCAGGTCACGAAGATAACTCACCAGAGAGCGCTGTGGTTGGTGACCCAAAGAGTAAACAAAGATCACGCACACGAAAACGGCCAACGAAGTTCCTGCTTCTGACTGAATAACGGGGGGTGTTTGAAGGACTGAGGAACCACCGAGAAAACGGGGAATCGCTGTGTGCTTGTGATGTGGCTGATGGTTGGTCGAAGGAGCTGCGCTGGGGGATCGTCGCATGGATCCAATCAAAGACTGGGCTGGGCCCAGGTGGGAGACTCGGCCTCAGGCACCACTTTCTATAGATCTATGAGTGTTTTCCAACTCTGTCCTCGGCACTCTACTCGTACACTGGAAGACTCTACTCCTTATCCAATATCATATACAATTTAATATGTGTTGCATTTTGGTCCATCCCCTTGCTCCAAACTATGTGCCCAGGTGTGTGTAAGAACGTGTTAAACACAATCACATCCCTCCCCGCTCAACGCTCAAGAACTCCAGATTAAAACCCACTGTAGAATATAATCACAAATGCCTCAATAGCCGTACTGAGACACAGAATTGGCATGTGGCCAGAAAGCAGGGCCCTTCTGGGGCACAAAGGGTTGTGTGTAATACCCGTCGATATAATTCGATTCCTGATGCTCAGGCTTCAAAAAATTGGATGAGTCATGAGGGGGAACAATCTGCACCGGTGGTGCCATGACCGTGTTATATCCATATCCACTGGTTGGGCTCTGAGGTCCACTGGACTCACTCGTCGTGGGCGAGAGCGGCAGACCGTGCGAGCGCTGTGGCTTGGGGTCTTCTTCCAACTTGGAATTACTAGGGTCATCACTCGAATCATTCACGTCGCTTTCTGTCTCGAGTGGTAACCCCGAGGATGGTGCTGCGTGCGCACGAGATGAGAGGTCATTTCGGTCTTGGAAGATCGCTTCCGGGAGGTGAGTCTGTGTCACTTGGATCATCGTGTTGGCATCTGTAGTGCGAACAAAGTTCATGTCAGTGGGACTGTTGGCGGGAACGGGGCTACTGGGATGTGGTGTGACATACCGATTTCACCATCCAGGTACCTCTCTTCCATGTGGCGTACGTAGTAGATCTCATCGAGAACTCGCAGTCGATGGGCGGGCGTGATCTGGCGTCTCACGTCTTGGCCTGCATCTCGCAACTTCTCTGTTGTCACTCCGTGGCTATCTTTCAGCTCACAGAGAATGTGGACGAGTAATCGGAGGCGATCTTTTTGTTATCAGTATTTTGTTCCAGGAATACGGATTGCCCAAAGATAATCTCACCTGGTTTAAGCAGGTGATCCGGCTCTTTGTGAACAACACCGGCGGGCCACCATCCAGGCTTGGTCTGCTCTGGATTGTCGGTCTGTGCAACACCGGCGATGGATCGACGTCCGTTGTATGGATAATGAACCTGTTTTCTTGGCTCGACAAGCTTGATATATGACTTTGCAATGGCCCGGCAGTTCAGTTGCTGGAAGTCTTCAAAGGCCTTTTCATAGTACCGTCGCAGTAGCGCCCGGTTCCTAACTCGCAGAACGGTTCGTCCGGGTGGTGGTGTGGTTGGCGGGGGAGAGGTAGATTTTGGCCGAGACTTGATGATGCCTCCAGTTCGCTTTGCCTTCTTTCGGCTTTGGCTTGTTGTCAGTTCACACGGAATCATATCGGCCCGTCTTTGGGTAGGATGACCCCATGAGGACTGCACGCCCCAGGAAGAGTGGGGCTCTAGTGATGAGGGGCCTAGAGATAAGGTACAACAGGTCAACGATGTGCACATAGCATTGAAGACTTCATGGTGGAAGCTCACTTGTGAATTGCGAACCGACCTGACCACTTTGGCCAGTTAGTTCCATAAATCGGTTTGTCACATCTGGTGTGAAAATGGTACCTTCGCAACCAGCGAAAGAAGCCGAGGTATCATAGTGCACTTGACCATTGTGGTCTGTGTACACCATGAAGTAGTGTGGGGGTGGATTTTGAAATTCCCCATTTTGATGTTGAGAAGTTATCGGCTGTTCGAGTGAATGTCAGTTAACTCTCCAAGCCCTCGAGTTCAATACTCTTGCTTCGATGAGGATCCATTTACCATGGCCATTGGCTGCTGGGGGATACAGGTGTCAGAATGTCTTCGCTCCAGTCCTTCCCCGGGAAATGGGAAACCACGAGTGGTATCCATAGTGTGAAGTATGAGAATGTTCGATGTGAATGGTACAGTTGCGCTATGCACACCTATTAGGCACGGTACGCAAGATAATACAAAGAGGTTCCAGGGTGTTCAACGAGCATCGGGCGTGTATTTGATAAAAGATAATTCGGGTTCAATTGACAGGGGTGAACGCAAGTTGCCGAAGGATACCTTATCCGACTCCATTCGACTGGGGGAATGGGGAACTATGCGAAGTAGATATATAGACCAACATTTTATGGGGCTGCACCCAGGATCTCCCAAGCCCGGCGCCAAATCCCGATTAATTGATACGGAGTAGATCTCCACATGACATCGGTGTCCCCCCTGAAAGTACGAGTCGGTCTTGGTGCTAATGCAAGGAAAAAAGAAATAGCTGCAAAGCAGAGTGTGGCAATACGAAAGCTTCCGTGTCACTTCCTGCATCTATCAGATGCCCCTTTACTATTTGCAAATTGGGTCGAGTCCGGTCTGCGCATTGACGATGTTTAGGGCTGTGATCCATGGGTGAGCACCGCCCCATAGTCTCGATCCATGGTTTTGGTCGGGGGATCCGAGATCCCCAAACCGAACGTCTCAACTTTTCCATGGTTAGTACAACCTGGATCGTCGATGCTCTGACAAAAACAAACAAATCATAGAATGTTTTTTTTTTGGCTCCGCTTCACGATCCGCTCCGAAGCTATGGGTTATGCAACGAGTCGTTGTATCCATTATTTTGCTTCTCGGCCCAACTTCCATCGCCGTGGTTGTGCCCCTATTTCCCCTATTTCGCGGTCCAAGAGAAGTAAAGGTAGACCTGACAGGATGTGGGAAATGTGCTTAATCGATATCCCAATAGCGTGCGTAGTGGAAGAAGCTGGCCCATCCAATCATCGCTTCCAAGCACGATCGGCGATCTCTTTGGCCACATCACCCCCCCCCCCCCCCCCCCCCCCCCCCCCCCCCCCCCCCCCCCCAACAAACCCAACAAAAACAACAATCCAAA